GTTAGATACAAACTTAAAGCGGAACTTGTAGATAAAATCCTTGCCTGGAGCGCAATTTCTAACAGGCGTGTATCAAAACCTTTTGTGGGCAAAGTGAGAGATGAAGCTTTGAATAATCAGAGCTATATTGTTAGCTGCCTTTCCAGCTTGCTCCAGTTTGTCCACGAACAGCATGCTAATAACCATGTCATGTTTTGGACAGACTTAGCATCATGCCATTACGCAAGAGATACCCAAAATTGGATTCGACAACATAACTTTTCTTCACAAAAACGATAATCCTCCAAACTTGCCGCACACTCGCCCAATACCCCAATAGAGGATTTTTGGGCTTTACTATCTAATAAGGTATATCATGGAAGCTATGAAGCCTAAGATGAAAAACAATCAAGACGGCGAATTTATGAAGCGTGGCGCTATTTGATTATACACTTTTTTGACGCGAGCTTCCGTTATTTTGACATTTGACAGTTCGCTCCGCTACAGTTCCGCATGTAGAGCCATCTAAGTCGAACTATGCGTCTCCGAGATCCGAATTTGAAGCACTCGGTATAGGGTATACGGCGGAAACTCCGAAATTCAAATTCAACACTCGCTACTCTCTCTCTCCTTCTGTCTTTCCGTCACACCGACAGCGTATAATGGCGCGTTAACCACGAGGTGTGGGGCATACTAACAGCCGTCTCTTTGGCTAATTCCAACTTTAAATATGATGAGGATGGGAAGCTGGCAGACAGGCTATATATCCATACTTCCCTGACAAATTTTGCTTTGTGTGCTGTGAGAAAATGTAACTAGTTTCAAAGTTGCTCTTACAAAGGATACTGTTACCTCGCTGTCATTGAGCTGCATATTAATGATTTAGTTAGGGAAGTGATTAAGGCGTTATAGTCGATTCTGGAGGGCTGAGCGTCGATTAAGGACTAACTACGCTCCCTTGGGAGACCCTCAAGTTGAGATATAAAAATTTTATTGTGACAATTGTCATCATAGGTTTTCAAATACTTGAATTTTCCAAAATTTTCGAAATATCGAAATTTCTTACTAAATAAAACTATCACCCTGTATCTCGGTGGGTGAGCATCTTTGAGCCTATATTAATAGGAACTTTTTTGTTACTTTTTGATGTATTGTACTTTCCACCTTGGAAATATTGGCACGTCTTTCTAAAACACCGTGTATAGTTGCGCTAGGTTCGATAATTTTAGTTGTACGAGTAGATCGCGGTAACCGGAACCTACAATAAAACGAACGACCTTTTCTGCACTCTGAAAATTTCCACATGCAGAAGGGAGAAATATGTTGATGTTGATTATACACCTAGTGTGCCGTGAAAAACAATATTCTCCTTCTGAGACAGTAGGGTAACTAGATATATTTAAATCAAAATGGCTTCGGCACGGGTATCACGTATCTTGAAAAGTGACATTATGCCGATTTTTTTTGACATTATGCTGTTTTTTTTGACATTATGTAGGTTATCTACAAGATGTTAACTTAGCACTTAGTTGTACGTGTTGGCTAAACGTCATGAGGCTTGTTATCAATCTTTGGTTTCGATGTGATGTAAAATCTGCTTCTGAGATGGCATTACTGGAAATCTAAGGCCCGTATCGTCAGTCGTCCCTACAATTGTAGGGCGCGTTTATGGCCTCCTTGATCGTCATAGTTTTCTACTTCTCCGTGTCAGAACTCTATTTTGAGGTTATGTCACAAACATTTATTTGCATCAAATTGTGCTTGCTTTTGAGTTATATCATATTTTATCAGCCTGAAATTTCCTACAATTTAAAAAGAACACATATCTTCACAATAGGAGAGCGCTGACACTGACACGGGACAAGTGTAATCTAGAAATTTTTGAAGGAGAGAAAGGAATATGACAATCAAGGAGGCCATAAACGCGCCCTACAATTGTAGGGACGACTGACGATACGGACCTAAGCTGTAAGTTGTATGTGTTGACGATAATTACATTGGGTTCTTGTCTCAAATACACTTAATTGAGATTCAAAGCTAGAAATTAGTTGAGCATCCATTTTTTCTTATCCATTCTGGAAATTACATATACAAATTTGCTGGATTTCTAAAATGAGAGAGATAAGAAATAATTATATTCACTGTACACTGTCGAATTACAAGCCATATAGATGCTAACAGTACACACAACGCGGGCGCGGTGATCATTTCCCGTAATTCTCCTCAGTTTCTCGTAATTTATAACTTTGAACATAACCTCTCTTCAGAAAGCACAACACATAAATAACCCGTCATATTCGGCATATTCAGTAATGATTCTCTCGCACAGCAAATACACATGCAGACCAAAATACACAAAATCATCTAGATGCGATCTTGCTTTTCAACCAACTTTCTTCTCAGAGTTAAAAACTACAGACCCGGATCACTCAGCCTCACAAAACTATGCAACCAATAATGCGTAGTTTAGTTGAGTGATTCCTCCATAGATGGACGTTCACAACGATTCTAGTGAGCAAACGTGGAATGACTGTTTGCACAATAAAAACTACCTAGTCTGCAAGTTGACATCTTATAGGTTTTTTTGACGTTTTATAGGTTTTTTACATGATACCCGTGCGGGACGCGCTAGAAAATAGTTGATTCTCAAACCTCTGATCAAATGGAAGAAAGTGAAAGTGACGTAGATATATGCGCTGTAAGACACAATACTGTTCCACAAACTTTTATTTCTACCTGTCGTACCCGTGTCATATAAAAAATAATGACATTTCACAAATACCATGGGTGATTTATCTCTTTTCGTTAACAGAAATCAATGCAGCAACCCATTCCAAAATACCAATCGCCTTTTGTGTTTGTTGAACGTGATGAATTGTGGACCGTATCCATGAATTATTAGACTTATAATCGTTTAATCTATCCTGCCTACAAACGGAAAGATAAAAATATATATCAAGAGTCTCAATCGGGTTTTTGACATTTTCCTGCGTGCTGTACAAAGTATTACATACGGGTCGATTGGAACAATAGTGACTTTACTTTTATAGCCAAAAACACATAAAATAATACGAATGATTCTTTCAGGCATAGTGTATTTAGTATGTCTCCATATCAGAATACAAAAGGTGTTTAGGATTTTCACAACAACACCTCATACGACAATGATTAAGATGGTCGCATTGCTTTTGTAAAGAACAAAATAATGTGAATTTATTTGCCGTTAGTTTGATATGGACCAAAAAAATTGCTTATTATTTATGGATTAAATCAGCCATTTATCTACTCCTTAGAAGTAGCTCAACTCCCTGTGACTCGGAACGACCTATCAATCAAACTGCACGATACAGTATATTCACTGAATCAAAGAAGTTACGTCACAATGTCAAATAATTACAGTGACGCACATGGTTGCCACATTACTTAAAACTCCTGTATCCTAGGAAATAACCCACAAATAAACTACAGCCGTTGGCGTAATTACCTGACAAGCTTTGCGACAAGGTCACAGCACAGTTAACAACATAAATTTACCCAGAAAACTATGCGCACCAATTTACCTATTTTGCATTAAGGTTGGCACTCAAATTTACTAAACATGACGTACCTGCTTTGTTTCAGTGAAAGGACTATATATATATATGTTTTAATTTCGGTAACAATTGGTGACAGTACATGTTTGTTTATCTGACTTCCCGGTAACTGATCATTTATTTTTTCTTTTTTTTCATTTCATCTCAAGGCCAAACTGTTGTCTTACATAATTCTCTCACAAGACAAACAACATAGTTCCCTTTATATGTTGAAGTACTATTTCCCGCATTTCAGATCCATGAACAATGCACACGCAACAGCAGCATTAGTAGTCGAACATTGCGAAGCAGTTAAGCGGTATGGTACCACATTAGTTCTGGTTTTTCAGACATATTGCTACAGTGTATTTAATCATGCTGTATGTATGAAGCTCCGGTGCCAAAATACATCCTCCGTGACATCTTGTCGCTTTAGAGTTACTAATAAGAGTGAACGTCGAGCAATAATATTTCAATACCTTCTTCCTGATTTAGCCTGTGACCCGGATACTCGTTGGCAGAAGCTGAAGGCAAACAGGAGTTTCAATTACACTGGGACCTCGGTTGGCCGCGTGGGTCAGAGTGTCGTGCTACTGATCAGCCGGCCGGCTGGGCCGCGAGTTCGAATCTCGCCTTCACCATGGATGTTGTGACGTCGTGTGCTTGTCCATAATTAGAGATATACAAATACAAGATTGGATCTGGCTAATGGGACGCAATGTTCTAGTACAAAAAAAAATTACAGTATGAACGTGTGAAATAAACTTCACTTCAGCTGTTTCCATATTTCTTAGGTCAGAAACAGAATGAAGCTTCATTTTTGAGTACCTTCCTCTACTAGTTATTAGTTTGAGGCATTTTGAGCACTTCACTTTATTCAACCCGTCCCAAGTCTCCAATTGGTTAAGATGGTTTCATTTTATGAGTAAAGTCCCAGTTTCCAAATTTTTACAAACTAGAAATTCGTATTTGATGCTATCAGAGTTATAAACAAGATTATTTTGCCATCTTTCCGAATTATTTAAGCTTTAAAAGAATGGCGAATGCGCTTTTAGCTGTCCTGTCCTTTGTAGCACAATTATTTTTCATCTACATTCTAAGACACAATTTTATCAAGTAACATTACCCTATACCTGCTATTTTTTCCGATGGGCTGTATAGCTCTTATTGGATTGTTTTAAAACAGCCTCAATGGACAACCGCAAATAAAACAGGTTTGTTTTCATTCCGGCACTTATATTTATAACTCCTCGATAACATCATAGGTGGCAGTATTTCCATCTACAGACTACAGATGGCAGCACTCCAGTCTTAACTTTCAACTTTTGAACATAGATGGCAGCACACTATTAGTGCACTGCTTCGAGCGTAGATGGCAACACGTTAGTATTATCTTCAGTTTTCGATCATAGATGGAGACGCGATATTAGTATATTGCATGATTCATAGATGACAGTAGGGTAGTAGTTTTTTGACATTGACACCTGCTGAGAAAGTCGAAGTCAAAAATAAAAACGTAAATAAACCATTCATAAATAATGATTGTTAACAAAGAGATCATTCCTCAGTTTTAATTTGTAAACAAAGGAACATGTCCGTACCAATCGCTCCTAGGTATTTTTTCATATAAAGTCAGCTTCCAATTTTCAAGACTGACACGCTATGGACACACAAGACTATGAAGACGACTCCTCTGAACCGTCCCCTTCTAAAAGCAGAAGAAAAGGTTCTGCTCATTCTGCTGATATCGAAGAAATTGATGAATCGTGTCAAATTATGGTAGGTATAAGTAGTTAATTGAGGAGTATGGCTATAACAGGTTGATATATCTCTAATAAACCAAGAGGCAAGTGTAGTTTTTCATTTATCTTACAAATTCTAGTGTTATCCTCTTGCATATTATTCTTAGATTCTACACTAATAAGTAGTCACAAATCTAATAGTGGAAGAATGTGTATCATATCAAAATAATAACTCTTTCCTGTATCCATTTGAATAAACACGAAAAATGCCTTTGAAAAATCACGAAAGGTATGTAGTCTACCTATGCTTTGTTTTTCTAAAAGTATACATCTGCCTCATATACTCCAAATCAGAAACCTAGCTGCTATTATATTAATATGGCAATTCAAGACACAGTATGATAATGCACAAGCAGTTATTCTTTTTCAATAAGGAAAGTTAACTTCAATAATTGTTTAATACATCCCACCAAAGGATAGCCTGACCACCATTTTTAGATGCCAGACTTGCCACCTCTTGAAGTATTGCTCCAGGTTATAGAATATCCTTTTCATTTGTAGAGAAACTTTGATAATACAAAAACTTCTTTTATATTACTTCTGAAGGAATGATTGCAATCCTACTTGGTATCATGGCTGTTATGATCACAATTCCTTAGATTGAATTGTCATATGATAGCATATTACATTCAATCAACAAAATACTGTTTGTTTGTGTAGGTGAACAATTCTGACAATGTGCTGAGAATTCTGAGAAACCTATACCATGATAAAGAAATGTGTGATGTATATTTAAAGGTTGGAAATAAAGAGTATGGAGCCCATAGACTTATTCTTTGTGCTACAAGTGATGTATTTCAGGTACTTAAATGCTTTCTGCTATCAATTATTTTTCTTTACAATTACTTTTATATTTGCTAATTGTTTTTTTACATGAGAACTTTCAGTCAGACTTATGACTTCTTATATTTTTATTTATTTATTCAAATTGGAGATCATATTCTGTAGAATAGATGAATAATAACAATAAAGTATTTTTTCCAAGTATATCACCATTGATAGAGAAATTCTATAAACCTGTTTTAAATTGTTATTGATATGATTTATCAGACTTTATATATATATAAAAATATGTAAAAATTTTGAGGGGTTCTGTGTATTTTTTTAATTGCTTTGAAAATTTGAAGTGCCTATTAAAAATTGGGTATAGGCATATGGTAAATGAATAAGAGAATATATAATTCTAGGCTATGCTGATGTGTCCTAAATGGTCAGAATGGCATGAAAGCAGAGTTGAACTACTGGAACTCCCAATTTGTGAAGGATTTTTTAATTTATTCTTGGAATATCTTTACACTGGAAAAATCTTAATCACTCATACCAACGTAATGCCAATTTTGGCTTTGGCTGATAAATATATTGTGAAAGGTATATTATTTATTAATTCTGAAAAGCTGAAATTGACTCAATACTCACTATAAATCTATCAAACATTCTAGTTAGTTAGCTACAAGAAGATCATGATAAGTGACAAGAAATATTTATTTTGTTTTTTTGGCTGGGCATCAGCATGTACACAGACCCATTTTTCTCACTTTTACTTATTATTTTGTAGGCTACTCAGTTTTACTTATTTTTGTCAGATTTTTCGCATTATTTAAAGTGCTTGGCTGATTGAAACAATTAGTTTTTGGTTGATCATGGAAGCTGGAAAATTTGTACAGTAGACCTTCACTTTGGTGTCTTTTGATTGCAATAATGTATCTCAAGCAGTTACAAAGTTGAAGAAAGAAATAATTTCCAGTTGTGCTGATAATAATGACTTAAAATTAAATCCCTCAAACTGTTCAGTTCTATTGTATTGCTCTCAACATTATCAGCAATCAGTTACAATCCTATCTGAGAGCAAAATTAATAATCTACCTTTGTTCTCTATTGATTCGTCCAGAAATGTTGTATATTTTATTCTTAAGGAATAAAGTCATCATAACACAAATGGTTGCACCCTCCTGGTATATTTTGTGAAAAACGTTCGGACACGTCAATTTTGGATTCTTTTCATTTATAGCAATACAATACACAGTGATCCAAAAATAAGATATTGCATTACACTTTAGATTTTTAAATTTAAATCCCCATTTTTTTAACTTTTAGATTTTAAATGAAGTTTTTAGTAACTTTTGTATTATAAGATTTATACCTATCTTCAATCATTGTGAAGCTATTTTTTTATTACTGTCTCTGCTATATTTTTCTTTCAACTATTTCGTGAACAACAGAAATACTTTTTCACTGTTCTTGTTGCTTTACATTTTGTTTTTCATCTTCATATATTGGTCAAGTTATGGAATAGCGTAAGCTAAACTTGGCCCAAATAAAGACCTTATTATTAAAATCCTGTTTTAGGTTTGTCACGGGTATGCCTGTCCTACATGTGCAAACATGTACCTCATGCAGCTTCCCATAATCAGCTGTTCTCCTGGCTGCAGTATAGCACAGCCTGTGGCCACACGAAGGTCATGGAGACATGCCAGAACTACATTAAATGGAACTTTGAAGCCGTTGCTAACACGCCAGATTTCAGCAATTTTGACATCGACATGTTCACCAGAATCTTGTGGCAGAATGACATTGTTGTGCATAATGAAATGGTAACAATGACATTTGAGAAAATGAACAATTTTTGGAGACATTTGCAAACTATATCTAGAGAACGTTTGTAATAAATTGATTATTACGGGGTGTTCTTTTTTCTATGTTACTTAATATATTTTTGAGGGAAGTTTCTCGGATTGGAAATCTTGATGGCCATGGATAAGGGGATACAGGAAATTTTAATGGATAGCTCAGTAGTGCTACATTTAAAACTCCTGATAAAACATTACAGGGTGTCCGCAAAGTTGGGGGTTCCTTTACACGACGTGTAGATCTTGAAAACATAAGCAATTTTTCTTAGTACCATACACACCAATGTCTTAAGGGAACCGAGATAAAGGGCTCTGCAACATCAAAAATATCTGAATACCGTCCTGTAGCCGCGACCCGCGACATCACCAAGTGGTACAAGGTCACTGGCTCAACCCGACGACAGAACTGGGTCGGGGTCAGTGTGTCAGGTCAGTATGCAACCTTCACCCGACGGTTACGGTCACGCGTGTAGAGGTAATCGCGTAGACGAGAATCCCTCAACAAGCACTAGAGAAGTGCAAGTATCAAAAACTAAAGTGTGGCAAACGCTGCGTGAAGAGGAGCTGTATCCGTTTCACGTTCAACGTGTACAAGCCCTTCAGCCTGACGATTTTCCAGCAAGAGTGCGGTTTTGTGAGTGGTTGTTGCATCAACATGACAATAATTCGGACTTTTTGAAGTGCATATTGGTGACAGACGAATCTACGTTCACGCGTAATGGGGTGAATAACTTTCGCAACACTCATGTTTGGTCAGTAGAAAATCCGCACGCTGTCCGTCGGGCACATTTTCAACAAACATTTTCGATGTATGTTTGGGCTGGCATGGTGAACGGTATGCTCATTGGACCATTTATTCTCCCAAATCGATTGGACGGGATACAATACCTAGACTTTTTACGCAACATTTTGCCTTCCTTGTTTGCCTGCGTCTGCTCGGTAGCGCATCAGCTGATTTCATTTTCTGTTGGAGCGGTATGATTTCGGGCAGAGTACTTTTTCCTTTATTTTTTTTTTACTTGGTCGCCCTCGTTTCACTACACATTACCTTTGTTATTTCAAGGGTAGTTGTTTCTGAAAAGGAAAACCCCAACTTTGCGGACACCCTGTATATCTAGAAGATCACAATTAATTGGGAACAACAGTTTCAAAGTTTTTACCTTGAAACAACTAAGGTCTAAAATAAACTTGAATAAATACAATAACCTTTTTGTAGGTGTTATATAACTGTGTAACAAGATGGCTAGAGCTGGAAAAAATTAAAATGCAGCTCGTGTGCTGTAATAATGTAGAGATTGAAAAAAACTTCAAGAATCTGGTGGAAAGAATCATGTCCTGTATTCGATTTCCTATGATGACTCCTAGAGAGCTTGCTGAATTGCTGTTGTCAACTATTATCAAACAACATAAGGAGTTCTTCATGGATAGGATGGCTATAGGTAACGTTTTTTACTGTCACATTTTGAAAGCTGTACAGCCCCCGGGGTTTGGTCTCCAAGATTGCCTCTGTTATGGTATTTCAAGTTCTAATTGAAACCGACGAAAACACCAGGATCGTCAAAAAATTGTGGAAGCAAAAACAAGTTCTATTATAAGTTAATTACTGGCAGTTTAATAAACAATACTGTACACGTCAATTCAACTTGCTGACCCTTAGCAAGTAATGACTGCACTTTGCGTGCAGGCATTCAGAATGCCATTATTTTTTGTTTAATTTTTTACTGATTTTCCGGGCTTTGATGGGATTGGCAGTTTAAAACAACATTTTGTAATCTACTTGCCACAGGTATGAAATACCACTCGGGCTACACTGATCAAATCCAGCCTTACTACAATACGGAAGAGGGACGTTTGTTGTTCATTCCCCGTTTGTACACATCCGACAGTTGCAGCGCCATTTTGACAATCGAAAACTTTCGTACGATCCCCAGCTATCATACCAGCACTTTTGTGTTTTCGTCCCACTTGTCTGCAGCAGAACATGAATCGCATAAGGTGAACGAGTGGCTTGTGGATCTATATCCCAGGTGAGATTTTTGCAGTTACATGACTCCATTGTCTTATTGAATCAAAACCACATACAGAGGAACTGCAGCATATTTGGAATACTTGGAAATAGATCCGTCCATAAATCCATAAATAAAATATCGGTACTACTCGGCTCTCAGAAACTGCTTTCAACAAGTTGAAAAAATATTTTTTTCTGGGTGTAACACTTTTAGTGTCACTAAGTATATTTGGATGAATAACCGCATCGAAACACCTCGTGTTATTTTTTTCTTGTTTTTAGTTTTTTTTAATATTCTTTGTAGGGGTATTTGGTTCAAGAAATGTTACCTGATCGTGTGGCAAGGCACATTGGAAGTACCGGAAGAGGTTCTGTACACAGTGAGACTGTCATTGACCTGCAGAGAGTTGTCAGAGACTGACATGAGAGTTAAGGTGTCCGTGTTGATTTACGGTCTTCAAGGTAAGAACAAACCGTTCAGAACAATTCTCACCAAAAACAGTTGGTAACCCCGCAACCCGACGGCACATTGTCGTCGACTTCTGGGACTGTAAGAAGTTACAAACTATAGTCGAAATCACGAAAGTAAAGACAAACGACAGCGATTTGTGAATATTATAGTTTCAGATATGTTAGACAGAGACAAAGAATGTTTTTGTCTAAACAAACCGTATTGCTAATTTGCATGCATCCGACAAAGATAGACGATGTTTTCATGTTGCATGATCGATCATATTTGGATGATGAATAGTTAGGTTATGTTAAAGCGGATTAGGTTTTTTTCGAATGATACTTTGGTCTCTGGTGTTCCTGTTTTAAGGTATTCTACTCGTAACTGTCTTTTTCAAAACAAAAACTCCCCACTAAAATTAATAACTTTAAATCATAATATAAATTTTGTTGTCATTATGTTCCTGACGTGATTTTATCATCGGCGTACGTCCATTGATTACTTCAGTACTATCTGTGATATGACGTAATAGTCATCTTTAGTGATTTTGACTATAGTCAAATCTTACGTATTTCGATGATAAACAGCAAACTCGTCAAGTAGCTAACAAAAAATCGCCTTCTCATTTTTATTTACGGTTATGCTTATATAGGTGGCGTTGAACACGTGATGGAGGTTAAAGAAAAGGTTCACCATTTCTCCACTCAAGAAAAAGTGATGAACATTGATGACCTCATTCCATTTGAAGAACTGAATCCACCAGCTACCAGCGAGGGTACTCACGAAACACCATACTTAGTAGGGCCAAATCGCGACCAGTTAAAATTGAATATCGTTATAGCACCTATCAGGTAGCAGATATTTGTGACTACACGAGTGATCTGCCCTATGTGCCATGCTATATAATGTTTAAGAAATAAATAACTGGTTCGTTCTTTAGAATGTGAAGATGATTCTGTACATGGCCATTCACAGTACTAGCTCTATTCAAAAGTAAAACTTGAAAAATTATATTTTCTCAAGATATATTATATATTGGGGGATCTTTTATATCAAAGTTTTGTTATATATGTTTTTTCATTTGATTTTGATTGGGGGTGATGCAATTGTAATGAATTATCCCTTAAGGATTTTGTTACATATTATTATATTAATTATAATTTGGTACATTATTCTATTTGTCATTCCAATTTTGTTAATAAATTGTGTTTCTTTATGCAGTCTTTTTATTTATTGCTTTGGAATCTGGATGCAATAATTGGATATTAAAATAAATAATGTGTAACAAATAATCTCTATACAGAGATATTTCACCATACAGAATTCAGAAAATGTCTTTTTACGCACAGACTTCGACTGATCCATTTGCTGTTGCTAAAATTCCCCTCATCGTTTATTTCGGACGCCCCTCGTAATTTTATGGAACATGGACGGTTGCTCATATCGAATATAAATCATACGAATACCGTAGTACCCATCTCTAATATTCATTCGAGTGGATGAAAAGTGACAAAAGTCAACCGTTTAATTTATTAGTTGATTAGCTGTACGTCAATTAAATTGCATTTTTTCTCATCAGACTGACAAATAATATCAAAGTATTTCCAGGACAAGGATAAGCAAAAAATTATTTGAAAATGGCGAAGCACATTTGTGATACCTGCAATGTAGCCTTACAAGGATGTTGCATTCTGTATTTGTCATCTTCGATGAAGTGGTGCCATCTGTTCTCGAATATTTTAAGCTATTCAAAAAAAAAGGCGTGGCTACAGTTTGTTTCATCTAGATGGCGATAATAAAAATAGTGACGTATTATTATTGATCGAAATTCTTGTAGTCGGCTAACGCCATTTTGACTTAAGCTTAAAAGATTGTATAGTGGCAAAAGTAATTAGAAAATCCGTGTACATCCGTCCCAATTTCAGTTTTAATTTAGTATTTTCTTGTTAATCGTTGTTAACCCATCTGAACGGACCAAGGTATGTGGATATTTTGGTACCACAAAGGACAGAAAACGAATTTCGTAATGATGTTTTCATTTTTGCTCAACTATCTATTACAACTGTGAAACCTATAGTGAACCGTTATTGTGAGTGTATCTTTGTGGTTTTGCATCTATGAGGTGTTTCTACAGTGTATACAGGCGTTTCCCATTGTCAGGAAGTATCAGCCATTGTTCGTATTTCTCTGATTTGCCTGTATAGCAGAAATTTGGCAGATAAGTTATATGGGAGGATTCCTTGAAATACTTTAGCCTCATAGTACTCCAATAGCTTTCAGACTAACAGCTTCGTCTTTTTTTTATTTGTCTACCACCAAGTTAATATTCAGGTCATTAGTCTCGCTTTTTTCACTTACCTTTGAAATGCAATTTTAAAATCCGACTACTTTCAATTAAAAATAAGCATTGAATTTCTCCTTTGCTTTCATTTCTTTTTTTATAATAGTAACCTTCTGGTTTTAATATCTTATTTATTTGATTGTTAACTTCTGTTGTGTAATGTTACATTTATTTTTCTACAAATAGGGTTCGTTCATTGGGTCTTGTGAATCTAAATGGTTGTAACCTTCTGGTTTTAATATATTCATTTGATTGTTAACTTCTGGTTGTTGTGTAATGTTGCATTTATTGTTCTAGAAATAGGGTTCGTTCATTGGGTCTTGTGAATCTAAATGGTTGCGTGCAGACAGCATGTCCACTTTGCCAGGGCAGGCCTCCAAAGGGGAGAAGACAAAGCAGAAATTTCAATCTTTGGATATAAATAGTTTATACAGAGTTAGCAGGGTAAGTACACATGTATATGACAAGCAATAACAATTGTATTATCTTCAATTGAAGTAGATTTTGTATCCTAGATCTTCTTGCATACATCAGTTTTATTTCAAAGAGGAATGAATCTGAATTTATAGAAAAATAAGTCAAAGATCAGGTCAATTTTATGTAAGGAATTTATGGATATATATAGTCCTTGTGAGGAGTATCAAAGTAAAATAGTTAATAAGATATGAATAAGTTCTGGAGCTTAAATTATTAGATTTATTCTTATCTCATAATTGCAAATGTTTGTTGTTAAATAATGGTTTTAAATATAATAAGATAACCATATGTTTTATATAAAGTTCCATTATCCTCAGGTTTGTTTCCTTGTGACATGTTCAATACACAATTTTCTAAATATGCCCCTGTCATAAATCATTTATTTTGAATTTTTGTAGCATTAATGTTGTCTTGTTGGAATTTGTCTGATATTTAGATTTAATGATAATTCAAATTATAAGTTGGATATTATTCTAAGGGAATAACATGATTAAGTGACCCTTTTACCAGGTTCTGATTGATGTAAAGACTGAGGAACTTTGTACTATAGTTGTTGGTTTTTATTGTTGAGGCCAAATCTGGAATTTTTCTCTGTTTAGATTTTTTTTTTTGGAATCGAGCACCAATTCCTTTTTAGCAAACCACATAGTTTCGGTTGCTCCCATTGTGAGAATATTGTATCTATTTTACCCCATTCATAAACTGTAGTAGTTTCATAGCATCTCTTCAATTGTAGTATAATAAAATGTCTTGATATTTATATTGTTTATTCAGGGTGAAAATTTAGAGAAGACACAACAGAAAAGCTCCTCAACATACATCAAACATGGAATGCAATCATTGGGTAAGGTGCCTAATGCACGTAGAGCGCCAGCAAACTTGCCGTCTCTGAAAGCAGAACATAGCGGCTCGGACGCAGCAGTACCGCTGGTAATTTATACAAAAATACTGTGTTTTGATTTTTCAATTTACAATTTGATGTATCAGAAGAAAGGGACGTTACTAAATTGATAAATGTTCAGACTGTATAAACTCAGACAATCCACTTTACAGTCTGTGAACTTTGGATATTGCTAACAGTTTGCCATATTTTTATCATTATCCTTGTCATTTTTTCACTATTTGAAGCTGAATGAGATTATGAAGATATCTTCCTTAGATATAAGAAAGAATGAAACATTTTTTGAATACTGTACTTATCATGGAAGTATGATATTGAAAATGATGTTGATTGTGTTTATCTTTGAAAAATATTAGACTCTATCCTTTTGTGGTGGCTTTTTTTTGTTGATAAGCTTTGATTAACCTGTTGTTGTTTTTGCATTCAGTTGAAATATATAAAGCATAAGCAAATATCATGTTTAACATAAGCTTAATTTTGGTGCACTTCTGGAAAACTCTTCTTTTTCTGAACAAAAAAAATGATTGTTTAATTTTGATAAAATGAAGCATATTTGAAAAAAAGGTGTCTGATTCCAGTATCATTTCATCCATTATGATACTATTTACAATGTAAATACAGTAATTTTGATCACAGATTCATAATTAGTGACCCAAAGACCCTTCCTCACTATGTTCTAGGCTCTTGTCCAAGTTTTTAAAATAAATCATTTTTCTCAAAAGCAGTACATTTTATCAGTCAGACAAGGATACATTTTTTTTAAGATGAACAGGAGCATTATGAATAGGTACATTATTTCAAAAATATCAAAAAAAGAATGACTTCTATATAGTTTCCCATAATCTCGGTATATATAATATAAATACTATAATTCCTCATTTGTATTTAACAGTTTTGTTAACAGAAAATGAAAACATATTTTCAATTGTACATTTTCTACAGAATAAAGCTATAACTAAATAAAAAAAAATATATGCTAAGATTAAGTCTGTTAGAAGAATTACAGTGGTTGAATTTGAAAAAATCATCCATTACCACCACATTTGGAAATCAAAACAAAATTAAATAGTCATTATCATAACTAGGAAACTAGAGGCAGTATAGATTGTCATCTGCAAAATTGTAATGGTAGCATAATTAGCAAATCTGTGTTTCAAGATGGAGAATCTGAATTTAGTAAATTGAATAATGGTATAAGCAGTGTTTGAATTAAAAAATGTTTAGGGTGAAATTAAAAAATCACTATGAATACCCAAAATGCATAATGATGTAATTTTAATAGATGTGAATGTAACATTACAGAAAATTGATTCCAAAAATTGACATTGTAGCATTAATGCTAAATAGATTTTCAACAAACCACCAATACCACTATAGTTAACTGTTTCCCATGAATACCAAGTCAGGTCTGAACTGTTTCAGTAGTGTTAAAATGTTATCGGAATATACGATGTTCGGAAGTTATTTCAGGATGGTGTATTTCCAGTGGCGCCCTTTGGGGGCCTATATCTCTGAAACAAAACTTCCAGACGCTTGATAAGATAAAATAATTTTAGAATCACTTCTTGACACGGCTATATATTATCGACATTTGCTTATAATAAGGTGCCAGCCGGATCACCAGGATGGGGCAAGCAGGAACAACCGTCGACGGGGGGATCGCCGCCGCAGAGCTCCTCGGCAGCTGCTCCGTCTCAACAACAGAATCAGCAACAAAACCAAACGGGACAACAGCCGCAGCCGCAACAACAACAGAATCAACTCAGCTCTCATCAGCAGGCGATAGCTTTGCCAGTGTCTGCGCCAGCACCGCCGCACATACACAAACCGGTTAGTATGGAAACATTTTATATATATATATATACGAGCAGTAGTCATTGCCATTGCCAACGACCAGTTGGACAAAAAATACAATTAATTGTTAATTGGGAAATTGGTAAAATTTTTTGTAGGCTTTAGTAAACTCTTTTAACGGTAATCTCGAGCTTTCGGCATTCTCTATGGAGCCATCTTCAGGAGCTGAAAATATATACATATATCTCCTAAATTATTGAATTTCCTATATATTTTCGCGGTTTTTGGCGGCTCCAGAATTTTTTTATATTTGTCGGAACGTTTTAACAAGAAAGGTCAGTTGAAAATAATATTTTTGAGATTGCCGAATGTCTAAAGTTCAAACCTTTCCATACAAGAAACTTGTTTGGTAGGTTAACCGGAGGCGATTTTCTTTTTCACAAAAAAACGTCACTCATCCATTCATTTGTCTGACCGCCTCTAACTTGGAAAGTACTGCTGGGATTTTGATGAAATTTTCACTCACGATTACTACTAAACAAAAAGAACTATAGATTTTCAATATCGATCCAGTAACCTGTTTGCCGTCATTTTTTAACTGTTGTCTTGTTTTTATGCGTGAAACCTACTGTTGTACATTCCAGCTGGGTTCTGCCGGGAGTGCCAGCAGCGCCGCCTCCGGAGGCGGCGACAAACTGTGGAGCAGCGTGATGGGCGGCCATCCGGACGGCAGCGGGGGCAGCGGCGGGCATCCGCCTCTCTACCAGAGCGTCCAGTTCCAGCACGAATTTCCCAGCTTGGAGGGGGGCGGCGTCCCACCTGCGCGCACTCCGGACGGACAGGCGGCGTACGCGGGGGCGACGCAACCGGGCGGAGGCGGGCTGAGTTTAAGGCCGCAGACGGAGGGATCTTGGACGCAGGGTGGGCAAAGAGGAGGCTCGCAACACGGTAAGCTAACACACAAGTTTATTCCAACATCTTTCATGTAACCACTGTCATTTTTTTTTCAGGTGTCGGTGGTGTTGGCATAGGCGTCGGCGTCGAAAACGGCCCGGCGGTGGGCGGTGTCGGACCGAGGGGGGTCCAGGGCCCCCTGAGTGTGGGCGGCAGCGGAGGGCCGCCGCAGCTACCTGCTCAGGTGGGCATGCGGGGCGGACCGGGAGGCGCGATGCCTGGCGCAGCCGCACCGCCTCCCGTAGAACAACCGTTTCCGCCGCAGATCAGGGGAGTCATGCCGCCATTTGTAAGTGTTTTTAGTTTTTACCTTGTTTTCATCTAAATTGATTCATATTCTAGTTTGATTTTACCTAGGCAAAATATGAAAGACCAGCTTGATTCAGACATTGTTTGAGATATGTGATGATAAAACTCAATCTACTAGCAAATGTTACTCCCAAGTCAGTAATGATTTAAAAATATGTCATTGAAATATAAAAAAAATAAGGCAGGGCCTAAGGTACTGCCCTGGGGTACCCCTGAGAGTATTTCAATTGGAATGAATGAAACTAGGGATCCAGACTCGATTTTAATCCTAACGGTTTGCGTCCTTTGATATAAGAACGACTTGAGATAAATGAAGAGCACAGGGTATATTGGTATTGATGATATTCAACTGGTTAATAAAAAAAGCCGAAAGGAACGATATACCATTGTACATTAGAACACCGATTATCCGAATCATGTGGACCCAAGTGCTTTCGGATAATCGAAATTTCGGATAAAACGGAAATAAATAAATATTTAGCCTCATAATGCTTTTATTTAAAAAAGTAAATGCGTGTGTTAAGTGAGTATATACTTATATAAAGTTACGTAAAATATAAACATGTGGGTACAAACATACATATTTACGAGTATTTAGTAACAAAGGACGTAATTTTTAACTGTACACGTTTTGCATTGTTCTTATTTTTGGCAGCAATATCCCTCCAACGTTTGATAAGTAGCACATCAGCTGCTGTCGCATTTTCTTGTTGTTCGACGTAAGTAACGTCTTTTGTAGAACTTCTAATCCCTCAGAATGTGATATTCTGGCAGAGATCTAGCATCACTTAAAACTGTCTCATCACCAGTGTTACAAACAGTTTTTATTGGTCCTGTATCAGTTAATTCTTCCACCAATTCATCACCATTAATCTGCTCACCAACATCTGCTTGGCTAAGATTTTCACACTCTGCGATGTCAGAACACTAGACCACTTTTCAATTTTCTCGCGTTTTTTTTTTTTTGTTTCGTTCTGAAATAGTACTCACGCCCACACCCATCACTTGCTACGTTTTTAAGCAAATCACCTCTATCTAAACGTTTGCTTTCATCAAGTTTCTGTTCTATGGTAATAACAACGCGTTTACCTTTATTTCTATGCTGCTCAATCTTAGCGATTATGAACCTGACTGAAACAAACATACACGTACACATTCCTGCGAATTCCGCAAACGCGCTTGGGGAATCACCGGCAGCGAATCTAACATCGAAAGGCGAACTGCCGGCGGCTATTTCGGATGATGCGCCAAACTTCGGTTAAAACGGAGAGTTTATTGTATACGATCTGTTTTGGATAAAGTGGATTTCGGATAATCGGGGTTCTACTGTAATTAGAAATTAAATGCCTGTCACCCTTTCTGTGGATGGAGATAACCGTAGCACTCTTTACGATGGATGGGAATAAACCTTCCTCGAATGACGCATAAACCCGACTTAAATGTACGCATGGTGTTCTCTTCCAGATGTGCAAAGGTAGCAACTTCCAGCAAGGTCCCGTCGGCGCGGCGGGCATGGGTTCACAATCGCAACAGCATATGCAGCAAGGTGCTCCGTCGTCTCAACAGCAACGTATGAACGGCGGCAGGCAACAACCGCCGAGAATGGCGGACGGCAGGGGGGAGCAGGAGGATTCCGGCATGCCCTCGGCGCTCCTTTCCAGGCCGATCATCAAGGAGGAGGAGCTCAGCAGGATGGACGAGATCGGCAGGGATATGGGTTGGGCAGAGTCGGGAGAGATTGATTACAAGTATGTATATTGTGTCTTCAACAACAACGAAATCGAGAAATTATCTTTTTTTTTTTCAGCCAAAAACTGGCGTTCAGCGACGACGAAGCGGACTCGTCGAAACCGATGCCAAAACGCGACTCGCTCCGTCGCCAGCAATCCCTGACGCCCAAGGACCCTCAGCAGCATCAAGAACCGCCTCAATCTCAAGGCCAGAGCCAAGGCCCCGCCCCTTCGGACCGCGGCGGCCAATGGGCGCGCGGCTCGAGAGGCGGACGATCGTCGGTAGCCGAAGAGGAGGAGCTGCGCGCTCAACAGCGTCGCACTCAGACCGAACGGGAAGTCGAGTTGGCCGTGCAAAGGGCCAAGCAGAGGAAAGAGGAGGAGGAGAAACGGTTCCAGGAGGAGAGGAAGCAGGGCGCGCAGAAGAAACTGATGGAGCTGGAAGAGAAGATACAGAAACGAGCCAGCGATAGCCAGGTAATTACTTTCAATAGAGATACACAAATTAGGCTTCTTGTTTGCCAACATTGTATCATATGCGGTTCTTATAGTTTTTTTCATTTACTTTTGGGGACATTTCTACCTTTTTTTTTTTATTTAATTTTTGCGATTTTGTTTATGCTTATTAGTTTGTGATTATTGACAGCCCTGTTTTTCTCAAGCTATCGCATTTTGTCGAGCATCATCTTATTTTTAATTAGTTATTATTGCTAATGATGATTGATATAATATAGTTACGATTTTAGCAGAAAACAATTTTGTACATCTTAATGTATGTTGTTGTAGGAAAAGTCGAGTTCGTTGCCCCCGCAAATGGATAACGTCGACATCCCCCTACCCGATTTCCAAAAGGAGAAGGAACGCGACAAAGACGGCCGAGCAAAGACTCCGAACGATATCCGCGATGATAAGAACCAAGACGGTTCGTTCAGGCACATGGCGCAGATTGAGGGGAAGGGCGGATTTCCCAGGAAGCACCAGAAAGGGCCGGAAAGGGAAAGAGAGAGGGAGCAGAACGCGTACCCCAGATCGTTCCAGTACGACTTGCCGCCTAGGTTCAAGAATCAGAGGAACAATAGCAGCTCCAACTTGCAGGCGAACGCGCCGTACCACCAGTGGTCTGGCGGTCAAAATGCGCCCAAAGGTGCAGCACAAGGTATGGAATCAATATTCGGTACTGATATGCTCTATTATCAAAATGTAAAAGTATGTGAGCTCCAATCCAATCCAAAACCTTTATTTCCATAGATACAATTGCAGTGCAGGTGATTTCTCGTTGTTCTCAATAAATTTCAGAAACTCTTCATAATCTATTTTACTCACAATCGCTGTCAACTAGGCGACAACTTTGATAGTACACGAAGATTACTCAACCTGAAAAATCCCCGTGAGTGACACTCAAGTGTGCTGTCGCTTCCCAGCCACTATGAAACACCATTGAAGGTTTTCTCATGTAAGGTTCGATCTCATCCATTTTAATGAAACATTGATTTATCCTAGGAATGCAGAATAGGAACTCTAGGCAGCACAGTCCCGATACGGACAAGGAGGTCTACAGCGACGACAGAAGGGAATACAAACGTCAAAGTTCAGAGGACAGTTACAGAAGCTCTCATTCGCATCACTCTCAACAGGATCTGCAGAAGATCCCGGAAAGTAAGCGGTACTCTGATGAACCGCAGGATTCAGAACCTGCGTTCAAGAGTCAGTACAATCGGAAGGAGGAGGATAACAAGTGGCACAAAGACATGAAAGACGATTGGGACCGGGACGACAGGAGGAGCGATAAACGGGAGGACAAGTACGAGAGGGAACGGCCACATAGGCCTGATAGTCGCGATTCTAGGTCTACTCGTCACTCCAGGTACGTACATTATACAGTAGCGGCTAACGGTTTGGAAACATTCTTACGAATTTTTTAAAAGTGTGCTAATTTTTTATTCTTTATTATTAAGGACTATTTTTTTCGGATATAGTATTCTTAGTCTTGAGGATACAAGTGACAATTTGTGTTTGATGTGGTACTACAGACATGCATTAAAATACCTTCATACTATTTTATGACAAAAAATGAGACGACAAAACTATGAAAATTTATTTTTTATTGCAAAATTAAATACAATACCGCTACAAAAAGATTTAAAAAATACTGTTTAGCTAATATTTGATAGCATAGCATTCAACACTGCCTGGCATCTGCTGCTCATAGAAGACACCAATTTTTTCGTCTGTTAAGATATTTTGCCAAATATTTTCTACATGATCAAATAAATCGTTCCTATTTTTAAAAGTTTTTCTTAGTCAGTTGTCTTTTAACATGCTCCCAGAGATGTTCTATAGGGTTTAGGTCCGGGGATTGCGAAGGTAAGAACATTAACATATTTTAATCTTGACCCGTCCTTTACGAATTTTGAGGTATGCTTGGCGTCATTATCTTGCTGGAATGTCCATCGTAAAGGCATTTCTTCTTCAGCAAAAGGGAGTATGTGTTCACTAAGAATATCTTTGTAAAGTTTTTGATCCATTTTCCCAACAATCTTAACAATTGGACCCGTTCAAGAACTAGAAAAACAGCCCAAAACCATGATGTTGCCTTCACCATCCGTAACTGTTGGCTTTCATCGCTCCATAAAACTGTATTCCATTGTTGTTATGTCCAAGTTAGAGATTTAGCAAATTTTTTTTTCGGTCTTCTGCACCTACTAATAATTTTCGAAATCGTCCCGTTGTTCATTCTTAATCTTTGAGAAATGTCAACATTTGTGACACCACTTCCAAATAATTCAATTACGTTGTCTCTTAAATCTTTTGAAAATCCTTTTACTTTTGCCATTCTCACTGAATATTTACCGCACGCAATATCAGAGTATCGCAGAACGAATAAATACGGCATAAACTGCAATCTTTCCATACTTTTTTCATTACAAAAACAGGTATTTAAAAAAACGCGTGTTTTTATTTTCAGAGAATTTGAATATTGATAAGATAAACCTTGTATTAGTACTGGAACCAAAGTAGACTTTAATATTTATATTATCTGTTACTTTACAATTTTAATTTAGGTACATGAAATAGTTCATAATAATGTTACTGTTTGTTTCCAAACTTTTCTCCGCTACTGTACATTTATTTTCTCATTTTAATACACACGATTGTAAACTTACAGAAAATTGATTCAAAAAAGTGTTTAAACGAATAATCATGCAAAATTGACATTGTAGAATTAATGCTAAATAAATCAAACAAATTTTGCTTATTAAGCTAGCGATGCGTTAATAGCGGTTCATCATTTTGTAACATACAAGATACCACTCTGTATCGTGAAGCCGCTGTGTGCCCGAAATCATCACTGCCACAACAATTGTATGATCTTCATGATGATTTTGTTTTATTTCATTCTAACAATCAAAACACAATACTGTACCTTGACGAACAAAAAGCGTCCCAGCGCATATCCGGTTTCTGTGGATGGCCGAGTTCTGCCAAAGATCCGTTCATTCCAGTTGGTCCAGGTCACCGAGGACTCGATCGACGAAGAACACGTCAATAGCGGCAGCTGATTTTTTTCCTTATGATCATACCGATGTTTTCATAGAAATTCCTTTTTTGTTTTCAGGGACTCCGATTCCCGCAACGAGTACAACTGGGGGGAATCCGCCTACGAGCATGCGTACGAGGAGAAAAAGAAAGACGATAGGATCGACAGGCGCCCCGCCGTGCCGGGGCCCATCACCAAGGAAAGGATAGAGGCGGACGATCAGCGCGGAAATGAGAAGAGGGCCCTTACGCAGCTGAAAAAGGGCGCCAATCCCGAGAAGGTCGAGAAGAATGACGATGCCGATTCGTGGGCGGATCTCATCGAACAGGAAGAGGCTAGGCAAAGCGAGGCTATTAAGAAACAGCAGCATGATCACAGGTAAGTTTGTACTTTGGACCAGTAAAATTTGAACTTCGAAAACGACACATGAAAATCTTTTCAACTTGCCTTTCGAGAACATTTTCGTCTTAGCAAAATTCGGACCAAAGCATTAATTACTTTGGTAAGACAACATATCCGGGAAGAGAAAATGTGAGAGGAATTAAGATAGAAAACATGGTGTTATGTGCTCTCCGACTCCGTGCGACAGGCTTTTATCAAATAATAATAATAAAATGTCTTTATTAGGGGAAGAATATAACCTTAGTGTGGCACAGAGTACTGTACATAAGGATGTTCATCTCATAATAATTTTGAATCTGAACTATTTTATTCTTTTACTGAAAAAATATCAGTGTCAGGCGTATGTATGCCCATCAAACACTGTCAGAAACCAGTCGCATAATTCGATTCTCTATTCGATCGATTATCGTGAACAAATCAATCGACTCCATTGTCAATTCTTCGATTTAGTTGACTCATTGAGGTGTTACACACAGAAAAATAATTTCTTCAACTTGATTTCTTTGCAATAAAGAATGAAACCATATATTCTCACGAAATTGTATTGACAAGTAATAAGAAAAAAAAATGATAATGTGTTGGGCGACCCCACAGCTGAATACACTCCTGTATTCAAACTAAGAAAATCGATGTCTGGTTGTGGCACCTCATCCCAAGCAACTCGAACTTGGATTAGCTGTGGCGGATACTGCAAACTGGATAGCCTACTGCCCAACATACCACACATGTTCGAAAAAAGTTGAAGAAATTATTTTTTCTGGCCGAGACACTTCTAGTGTCACTGAGTATATAAGGGTTCGACGATTCGTCAATATTTTCCGTCCATTCCAGATCGCAACAATCGGAGCAGCCCCAGAAGAAATCCGACGATTATTCTTCTAATAGAAACAGATCCTACCCGCAAAAGAAAAACTGGAATAGCGGACCCAGCGACTACCATCCGCCCAGGTCTCAGTTGTGGTCGAAAGGGGCCAGGAGCGGTAGCAGACACAAGGGTGGCAAAGACTACCATCCAGGCACCACAGACTCGGACGCGTCGGCTGAAGAGCACGCGATAGCGGATCAGAAGATCGAGGCCAAGAACGAGCCAACGGCTCACAAGAGCCAAAGAAGTCCCAAACCGGTCAAGAAGTTCGACAAGGATGATAAGAATAAGGAGAACAAGCAAGAGAAGATGACAGGAGAGCAGAAGAAACAGGATAAGCCTGAGAAGAGGGACAACTATATACCTAGGTGAGAGTCATTGAAAGATTTGGGAAACAGTCGACATTTTTCAAGTCAAGTGAAAAGTTGCAAGGTTTAATTAGCGATAGTTTATTTTATTTATACGTAACATGTAATCTTGAATACGTTTTTTTTTTATTCCTAGGGGCGAACCGTCTCGTCATGGTCGTGGAGGCGGCGCGTTCCGTTCCGGAGGTGGCGCTGGAGGCCGCATGGGCGGGCTCGGCAAACGTTTCGATGGGTACGGTCCTCCGCCATCGAAGAGCCCGTTCAGCAGCAGCCACCCCCATGAAGATACCAAGGATAAGAAAAGTGCTAAAGAGGAGACGGGCACACAGCAAGCGAGCACCACTGACAATTCCTCACAGCAACAGGTAAAAAACTATATACTTGCCCCATTTTTTTACCTGCTCATGAAATTTTTAAAATTCATTAGCAGCCCCAGAATTTCCGAAAATGGAGTTTGTCGAACCTTTTTGGGATAACATCTTTGGCCTTTATGCGGCTGAGAAACATTACGCTTCTCTACAATAGTTTAACACGTCAAAAAAAAAAATAACATCAGTCGTGAAGGCTGTACCAGAAAAAGAATAATCCCATTGCTTCGTGGACTGGAAAAACCGTTGGCAAAAGTGAGTGTTATCGGACGGGGATTACTTTGGAGGGGATGAAATTGATTGTAAAGAATTTACATTTTATAAACAATTACGCCTTACTTTTTGATCACAGTAGTATGCATGGATAGACATGAGGTCCTCAGATGTCTGACTAAATAAATTTCAATACATTACGATATCGGCTAATAACAGATTCATACATTAGAAATAGTCTTCAATAAATTGTAAATTTTCTTAAATAAATGAATCGATCGTAAACAGATTGGACACAGTTCACAATTCAAAAATGTGTACGCTCAAACTAAAACCGTTATTTGGGCGTAAATGATATACATATTTTTACCATTTTTGTTGTTTTCTTTAGCATGCCAGCTCCACAGCAGCCTCGACCTCCACGACTACAACTACCACCACCAGCAGTTCGGAAGACAAAATCAAGCAGCAACAACAAGCCCTTGCGGCTGGCATAATAGGCAAAAAGGCGGCCGCCGAGTTTGTTGCGAAAGACGATGAAAAACCGGCTGTCCCCGCGGTGACGAAAAGCGGTAGCGGACGAAGCGACAGGGGTGATAGAGGTGATAGGGGCGGTAGGCAGGACATAAAGAGGGGCGGACCGAAAGGTGGTAAGGGTAGAGACGGAGATGCTATACCCGAAGGTGGCTACGATGATAGGAATAGGGATAAAAACAGACCACAGGGACCAAGGTAAGATTTTTAGACTTCGACGGTTTCTGGCGTACTTAGGAATAAATGTGTATATGTAATTAGAGAAGAAAAAAGGAAATTCTACGATACGATCGATAATAACAAGTGCGGCAGTGTAAAGATGTGGAAGACTTTAAAAAGACTGATCAATTCGAAGCCGCATGATTGTGTAAATCAAGTTCAATTCGAAAACGGTACCGAAACAAATTCTTTGGTGATTGCAAACAAACTAAATGAATATTTTGTGGAAAGTATTGTTGATACTGTGGGTACTGCCAATGCTGCACCTGACTATATGAAAATCAGTTTCCAGCGTATCATTGAATTATCTAAGAAAAAAAGTAAACAGTTTAAAATCAAATAACAACTGTGCCGAAATCACTACTAAAAACGTGCTGAAAAACTGTTTCGAAATTTTGGGATATCCTGTATTAAATTGGATCAATTGTTCACTGAGAAGCAGTTCTTTTCCTGGAAATGTGAAATGCTCTACAATAACACCAGTTCCCAAAAAAAATTCTAAAAGATGCAGAGATATGAGACCAGTAAATGTGTTACCAGACATTGAAAAATTATTAGAGTCCATAGTGCATGACCAATTAATGCAGTTTATAGAAGAAAACAAAATTTTAGTGGAGGCGCAAGCAGGCTTTCGAAAAAAATATTCCACAGAAACAGCTTTCCAGTTGGTAACTGAGAATTGGAGAAGAGCCGTAGACTCAGAAGAGTTGTCATAGCAGTATTTTTGGATTTGAAGAGGGCATTTAAACGATTGATAGAGATGTTTTGTTAGGTAAATTGAAGGCATATGGTATAACAGGAAGTGTTTTAGATTGGTTTAGAAATTATTTGTCTAAAAGGATGCAAGTTACAAAAGTTAATGACACTATTTCATCAAAAATTGAAAATACGTTGGGTGTTCCACAGGGCAGTATCCTGGGACCACTTCTTTTTATTTTATACATAATTGATTTACCTGTCATAGTCAAAAAATGCAAAATTCAGATTTTCGCCGATGACACTATGATTTATATAGGTACTAAAAATATTCAGTCTGGTATCTCTTATATAAATGAAGACTTGAAGCTTGTCTCAAAATGGCTAGCATCTAACAGACTAAAATTAAATGCAAGTAAAACGAAAGCCTTGTTAATCGGAAAAAAACAATGTACAAATGTTCAACTGAATATTGATGGTGAAGATATTGAATTCGTAGAAGATTTTAAATACCTGGGGCTTTTTGTTGACTCTCGATTAATTTTTATATTCATTATGAAAAAGTTATAAATAAGATTAGTAATAAAGTGGGATATTTATCGAGAGTTTCTGGATGTCCGAGTTCATATAGCAGAAAAATGATCTATAATACCATCATTCTTCCAAATTTCTTGTACTGTTCGACTATTCTATATTTAGCAAATAATTCCATTTGTGAAAGACTGCAAATTTTACAAAATAAGTGCATGAGAATAATACTAAATAAAGATACATACTCCAATTAGGCAAATGCTTAGCAAATTAAAATGGCTCAATGTAAAAAATTTTATCAAATATCTTGTAATGATATTCATTTATAAAGTAAAAAATAATATATTTCCATCAAGTCTAACTAATTTAACATCATCAAATGTCGACCATCATTTACATAATACCAGAAATAAAGATGACTTCCATTTAATGACCAAAAAGTATAACATATGCTACAAATCTGTATTCCATCAAGGGTTGATTGAATATAATAAATTATACTCGGAGATAAAAGACCAGAAAACTTTGACAAAATTTAAAGTAAAATTGAGAAATCACTTGTTAAATCTACAATTATAGGTTGCCCAGCATTTGCATCATACACCATATGGCTTGAATTTACTAGTTCTAAGTTGTTTACAATTATTCTGTTTATGTAGCCAAATGTGCTAAATAAATCTTTCTACTACTACTACTTAAAATTTTGGCTGGCCAACATGTTCGTCGTCTTCCAGCGACTCCCGACTCTCTTTGAACCGTGTAAACGACTTGTCGGCTCGGCTACAAGATAAACAATCATCACCCTACACTTGCATCAATATGTGATGCATTTCTGTAATACAGAAATTAATTTTTTCTCTTTGTCCGATGCTCATTTTTCGACCGATGCTAAAAAGGTACTGTCACTTTGAGCGCAATAACTCCGCGTGAAGTAGTTCGATTGCCATGAAATTTTGACAGGGCATCAATGAAAGATGTACCAAGGCAGCAGCGGTGGCCGCAGTGGTAGACTCTTCGGTCTCCTGATCAGTCGCCGTGCGCTGTGCGGGTTCGAGTCCCGTCTCAGGAGAAACGTGACTGTCGAACGCGGAGGTACCACCCGGCGGAACTCGTAGGCGGAGCCAGAATGTGTGCATGTTGCATGCACACGTGTTCCCTCGCCAGAGTCCGTGTGGTGTTCCCCCTTTCCCATGTATCCACCTATAGCCCCACGCTACCCAATGGGTGCTTAGGCCTTAGGCCTTCGTGGTAGTTGGAGTATAAAAAAAATCCAACGATAATAGATGGCGCTACTTGTATCTGATATCTTTCAAAAGTCCTGTTTAGTTTGCGACAGACCTTGTATTACATTCAATATTAATAAAATCAAACCTTATCATCATTATTTGCAATTCATAAGAGTCTCCCAGTTTTGATTTAATTTTTTTATGTCATTTTGTTGTTTTATGTCTAGTTTTAATGTGTTGAAAGCCATTTAGCCATGATGGAAAACAGATTGTTTAAATATATGTACTGCGTTTTTGCATTTGGAAATCATGCTTGTGTCTGGTATCATAAAAATGATAGTCGGCATTTACAAAGTTAATGCACATCATTTCATAAATAAAAATCATGACTAGGTGCTTGATGAAATGTTTAACGCTAAGCCATTTTAATAAGCTGACCATTTGTGTCAAAAATGTGTGAAAACTGATGTGCTTTTTAGTCGCCGTACCAAGGTCACAATGCTCTTCTATTATAGGTCGTCTCATTCTAGAAGCAGAAACGAAGGCGGTAGAAATAATCAAACGGCAAGGCTAGGCGGGAACGAGAAGCGAAGTTACGACAGGAACAGGCAGAATTCCAGCTCTTCGTTGAGGAAAGACGACAAGCACTCTGAGCACAACGCGGCTTCAGAGGGTCACGTGAAAGATTCCGAGCACGAGGAGAAAGATGAGAAGACTTCCGTGAATGGAGATAGCGAAGGGTTCCAAGAGGTCAAGAGCAAGAAGAATCTGAAGGAAAGGCAGAAGAGTATGGACGAGAAGCCCAGTAAAAACGGACAGAATAAGGATGTCAAGGATAAGGATGTCGGAAAGGATAAGGAGAGAGATAATAGGAGGAACAAAAATATGTCTCAGGTGAGTTGTTTCGTTAACCGAATTGAAACTATATTTGTCTGGAAATAGAATTTGTCGGAATTGGTGCATCTGCTGTAAAGTTGTTTGGTATGGATTTTGAGCTGACGGCGTCAGCTTTTTTGGCTGAATTGAATGTATTTGGAACAATTAGGTATTATGAATTCTTTCGCAACGCATCGTGTGACAATATCGTGCAAAATAGTATGTTTTATACCTGCCTCAACCTAAAATTCTTTTTCAGCTAACCGCTCAGCAACAGCAGCAGCTGATCCAGAACATCCCGCCCCTGATGGGCACTCCCGTGAACCCGCCCGCCGGCATGACGTCATCACTGTCCCAGCAACCGCCACCCTGCCAATCGTCCAAGAATCAGTTCGACGGCAGGCCGAGACCGGCCAAATTGGCTCCGAGGTTCGCCAAGCAGAAGCTGAAAGCCCAGATGCAGCAGCACGGAGGCACCGGCTCAGGTGGGGGGATCATTGCCGTTGGTGATATGGCCGCTGATATCAATAAGGTAAGACATTAAAAACAGCTTTGATTGCAGGCTCAAAAACGTATTTGTTTCCGACACAGAGAGAACAGCCTTGCTTGTTTTGTGAACGCCATGTTTTTGGAGACATCTCTTTCTGATTTTATTTGCCTTGTCTTGTCTGTCTTCTCTTTAAATACGGTACCGAGTAAAAGTGGTGAAAGATTCTATTTTTTTTAAAGATTTTATTAAACTATTAAAGTAAATTAAACACTTATGTTTTATTATAACTTAATGTAACATGTAATTCAAAGCCAACATGAAAATAAAATTTTTGCTTTAATAAAACTATGCTAACAATTATTAGAAAATACAGCGAGCAAAAATAGAGAAACATCATATACAAAGCAATTGTCGTATACAAAGAAGCTAATACTTGGTTGCATAACCTTTATTTTTGATAAATTCTAGACATATTTTTCTCATAGAACCAATTAGGCTATCTATTGTTTCTTTTGGAATAGAGTTCAGATTGTTTCAAATATACTAAGTGACATATAAATCCGAACACCCAGTTTAAATTGTTTTATTTTAATAAAAGTTGGTGAATGTATTTATCTTACAGTAAATAACAAGTGAAAAAATTGTCAGCCTTATCAGTTGTACATTCCGGTTTTTAGACTGCTTTATTTTAATTCACTAACGCTCTAAAAATGAATATTTCAGCCGCAGTAAAGAATCAACGTTGGCGGATTTTGGTTCTTGACATCCTTTACGATCGGTTACGATGCCTAGAGTACGGAGACCTGTACGATTTCGTCAACTTAGTGAGTTTGATAGGGGCCGTATAGTGGGACTTCCGGAAGCTGGACTTTCTTTTCGGGCAATTGCAGTTAGAGTGCAAAGAAGTGTAGACACTGTGGTTAGGTGTTGTCAGGCATGGCTTCGAGAAGGCCGTACGCAAAGAGCAAGGGCACTGAACGCCGCCGTAGAACAACAGACCATGAAGATCGCCGCCTAAGATTATTGGCCTTAAAGGACCGTTTCTGCACTACCAGGTCCATTGCAAATGAATGGTTTGCAGAACACGGAAGACCTATTGGCATGCGAAGTGTTTACCGACGAATGAGAAGTTTTGGTTTGTTTTCATACCGGCCACACTGGGTCCTCCCTTTAACTCGAGAACACCGACGTAATCGCATTGAGTGGTGCAGACAACGGTCACTCTGGGATCAGGAATGGAACAGTATTGTATTTAGTGACGAGTCTCGATTTTGTTTAGGTATGCACGATGGTCGTGCCAGGGTTAGAAGGCGACGTGGTGAAAGGAGGAATCCACAGTTTTTTGTTGAAAGACATGTTCATCACACTGTTGGAGTTATGGTTTGGGGTGCTATAGCTTATGGCTCCAGGTCACCTTTAATCTTCATCAGAGGTAACATGAACGCCCAGCGTTATATCCACGAAGTTCTAGAACCCATCTTTTACCCTATCTTGACACCCTGGCAGATCCAACTTTCTAACAAGATAATGCCCGACCACATGTTGCAAGAGTCACAATAGACTTCTTTCAACATAATGATGTCACATTGTTACCATGGCTACCAAGATCTCCCGACTTTTCCCCAATTGAGCACGTGTGGGATATATTTGCAACGTCCTCCTCAGACTCTAGAAGCACTTCGAGAGGAGTTGGTGGTTGCCTGGAATGAGATACCACAGGAGGACATTGACCACCAGATCAGAAGCATGCCTAGGCGCGTTGGAGAATGCGTAGCACATCAGGGTGCATCCACACATTATTAAAGGTCAAAGGGCTTTAAAGAAGTGCAATCATTTTGACATTTTTATCATTTACTTATTATGCTTCATTAAGTACTTATACAAAATTTTATTAAAATAAAACCATTTAAACTGGGTGTTCGGATTTATATGTCACTTAGTATAATTCGGCACTATTTTTGAACTTTTCTGGATGTTCAGTCCGAATTTTTTTATCAACTAAATCCCATAGGTTCTCTATGGCGTTAAGGTCTGGACTCTGAGCTGGCCACTTGATGACATTAATATTGTTTTTTTTTTATACTCCCAACTACCACGAAGGCCTAAGCACCCATTGGGTACCGTGGGGCTATAGGGGGATACATGGGAAAGGGTTTTTAGACTGCTTTTTTTTAATTCACTAACGCTCTAAAAATGAATATTTCAGCCGCAGTAAAGAATCAACGTTGGCGGATTTTGGTTCTTGACATCCTTTACGATCGGTTACGATGCCTAGAGTACGGAGACCTGTACGATTTCGTCAACTTATTGAGTTTGATAGGGGCCGTATAGTGGGACTTCCGGAAGCTGGACTTTCTTTTCGGGCAATTGCAGTTAGAGTGCAAAGAAGTGTAGACACTGTGGTTAGGTGTTGTCAGGCATGGCTTCGAGAAGGCCGTACGCAAAGAGCAAGGGGCACTGGACGCCGCCGTAGAACAACAGACCATGAAGATCGCCGCCTAAGATTATTGGCCTTAAGGGACCGTTTCTGCACTACCAGGTCCATTGCAAATGAATGGTTTGCAGAACACGAAGACCTATTGGCATGCGAAGTGTTTACCGACGAATGAGAAGTTTTGGCTTGTTTTCATACCGGCCACACTGGGTCCTCCCTTTTACTCGAGAACACCGACGTAATCGCATTGAGTGGTGCAGACAACGGTCACTCTGGGATCAGGAATGGAACAGTATTGTATTTAGTGACGAGTCTCGATTTTGTTTAGGCATGCACGATGGACGTGCCAGGGTTAGAAGGCGACGTGGTGAAAGGAGGAATCCACAGTTTTTTGTTGAAAGACATGTTCATCACACTGTTGGAGTTATGGTTTGGGGTGCTATAGCTTATGGCTCCAGGTCACCTTTAATCTTCATCAGAGGTAACATGAACGCCCAGCGTTATATCCACGAAGTTCTAGAACCCCATCTTTTACCCTATCTTGACACCCTGGCAGATCCAACTTTCTAACAAGATAATGCCCGACCACATGTTGCAAGAGTCACAATAGACTTCTTTCAACATAATGATGTCACATTGTTACCAAGGCCACCAAGATCTCCCGATTTATCCCCAATTGAGCACGTGTGGGATATGATGGGTAGGAGATTGCTCAATTTGCAACGTCTTCCTCAGACTCTAGAAGCACTTCGAGAGGAGTTGGTGGTTTCCTGGAATGAGATACCACAGGAGGACACTGAACACCTGATCAGAAGCATGCCTAGGCGCGTTAGAGAATGCGTAGCACATCAGGGTGCATCCACACATTATTAAAGGTCAAAGAGCTTTAAAGCAGTGCAATCATTTTGAAATTTTTATCATTTACTTATTATGCTTCATTAATTACTTATACAAAATTTTATTAAAATAAAACCATTTAAACTGGGTGTTCGGATTTATATGTCACTTAGTATAGTTCGGCACTATTTTTGAACTTTTCTGGATGTTCAGTCCGAATTTTTTTATCAACTAAATCCCATAGGTTCTCTATGGCGTTAAGGTCTGGACTCTGAGCTGGCCACTTGATGACATTAATATTGTTTTTTTTTATACTCCCAACTACCACGAAGGCCTAAGCACCCATTGGGTACCGTGGGGCTATAGGGGGATACATGGGAAAGGGGGAACGCCATACGGACTCTGGCGAGGGAACACGTGTGCATGCAACATGCACACATTCTGGCTCCGCCTACGAGATCCGCCGGGTGGTACCTCCGCGTTCGACAGTCAGAGACCGTCTACCACCTACGGACAATCACAACATCCATAGCCAAGAGAAAAATTTGTCCTGGGACGGGACTCGAACCCGCACAGCGCACGGCGACTGATCAGGAGACCGAAGAGTCTACTACTGCGGCCACCGCTGTTGGCTGGTGTGATCTGCAAAAAATGTTTTTATTATTTTCGCTGTGTGCTTGGGGTCGTTGTTGTGCTGGAACCACCAGCGTAGCGGCATGTTTTCTTTTGCGTAAGGTATCATGGTATCAGTTAGTATTTCCACCTGTCCATAATTCCTTCAATTTTGACGATGGGTCAAATTTGAAGACCACAGAAGCAACCCCATACTTAAACCTTCCCGCCTCCGTGTTTGATTGTGCGTGCCCAAAGTGAACTTAGGATCAAATCGCTTGTTTTTAGGACGTCTTACCCATAACGTAATAAATTAAATTTACTTTCATCAGAAAATAATACAGAATTCCACCTTCTTTCTGACCAGTTCAAATGACCGTAAGCAAATTGAAGACGGGCGGTCCGATTTTTCTTGGAAATAAAAGGTTTTTTAGATGGTCTCCTTGCTGGTCAATCACTCTCCCTTAAACGTCTTTGAACAGTGTGGACACCAATATTTACTTCTTCAAGTTGAGCTTTTATGTCGACAGCAGTAGTAAATGCATTTTTAAGAGCAAGTGTTTTAATTTTCCTATTAATCCTAGGTGTGCTTTTTCTCGGTCTACCAGTCTTAGGACGGCTTACCAACGATTTTCGGAGGCGAAACAGCTTAATAATTTTGCAAATTACCGATCCGCTTAAATTCAGCTGTTTGGCTATAGTTTCATGTTTAATGCCTGATCGATATGTTAAAATAATCAATTAATTTATTTGCAAATTCCATGTAATTCCTCTGGCCATGTTTTTGAACTACACTTCACCAAACACACTAAAAAATAACACCTATTCTAATCAACGCCTAAATATAAACTAAATATTTACAAAATGTTTCTCTACTTTTGCTCGTTGAACAAAGAACCAACCATATTATATTGAAAAAAAAGTAGTCATACATAAAAAACTTTAGTTTTGGGTTAGAGTAAATCTTTCTGGATTTTCATTTGTAATGTGGTTTGTTTCTCTACTTTTGCTCGGTGCTGTAGGTCGACATCAAGCCGGAAACGGAATATAACGGAAAATAAAAATAAGTCGTGTACTCAAATTATAGGCTTTGAAGAAAATCTACACCCTGTGATGATCTTTTAGTTCCCATTGTTACAAATTTCATTTTGTTCTTTGAAGGAGTGGCAGACAGTCTCATTCTACATCGTGACAGCAAGACAGATAGTGACGCCACTCTTATTGATTCGTGAATGTATCTATTAAATTCACAATAAATATTCAAACTGCCTTCCTCCAGCAGCAATGTAAGGTTGACATCTTAAAAATGATTTTAATTTTCGATTGGCGACGGTACGAGTAACCACAAAAATAACTCATACCAATATTGTAGAACATGCAATTCTCTATAAATCTCGCCCAACTGCTCGCTGTTAATGCGTTCTTTCATTTTCATGATCTGAGCTACTGTTACGTCAATTTATCGATATCGATCCATTGCTATGAACTAAGAAGCAGTGACATGCTAAACGGGGTTTTTTATCCAGGGCCTGAATGTATATGGTATGAAGGATTCTGCCTCATCCCAAGCTAGCGTGTCCGCGTGCGCCTGGGACAAACCATTAGGCTCGCAGCTAAGGAATCTAGATCACGATAACGTCATTGGTGTCTCCATAGATCACGTTAAGGGATTGGATGCGGGCCAGCCATCTCCCCAGGGTGCTAGCCCTAACAGTGAGAAGGTAAAAAAAATATTCTAACACTTCATTCATATTTTCATAATTTATCTTATGCCAGAGACGAGAAATAGTATTCATCATAGTAGCAGTAGAAGTAGTGGTTGTAGAAGTAGTATTTTATTTGGCCAAGCACAAAAACACAATGTTCAAATGGCAAGTCAAAATAGAGAAATAAATGGCAATATGATTACACCTTTGAACCAAAATGGAGATAAACATATAATTTCTGCTAATATTATAAACGTGAGTGTGTATGTATGTTTGTCTGTTTCGTTTTCAAGCCAAAACGACTGAACTTATTTTGATGAATTTGCCCTGAAAGTTACATAATTTTATTGTTATTATTTTTTGATTGATTATATATCACTGTCAATCATCTACAGTAATGGACAAACGTATATACACAAATATGAATATTTACCTAAATACCTTTAGAAAAGTAATTCATGCTTCATTGCTCCATAAACAAATGCGTTATTAGTAGAAAAACTAAATTCCTTGTTTTTACATTATCTGCAATGAACACAATAAAAGTCTGAATATAAGCACTTTTTTATGAGGGGCAAAAATATATAGACGCATTTTTTTCAACATTAGTGTAGTACAGTTTCGTGTCAGAAGAGGATTAGTTTGTGTTCATCAAGTATTGTGGAATAAGTTGAGTGATTTTACGACCATGCCGCGAGGTCCTGAAATTTCTTTCGATGTGAAAACTAAGATCATTGAGTTATACAAAGATGGTCAACGTCAAGTCGACATTGCCAAAAATTTGAAGCTGAAGTGTAAAGCAGTTTGGGCAATATTGAACAAATATAAACAAAAAGGTATCTTGGAAGCCTCTAAGAGAAGTGGTCGGCCTAGAAAAGTAAATGCTAGATCAGTTAGATTAATAAAAGTAATTTCGTACAAAGATCCGTTTAAAACCCCAAGACAAATAAAAGCCGAAATCGAGACAAAAGGAATTGTCAGTGTTTCTACGAAAACTATAAGTAGAAGATTAAATGATTTGGAGTTATTTGCACGTCGCCCGAGTAAGAAGCCGCTAATCTCGAGGAAAAACCGTAAGGACCGATTACAATTTGCACGGTCGTATCTTGATTGGAGCATCTGTGACTGGAAGAGGGTATGTTTCAGTGACGAATCCAAGTTTAATATGTTTGGATCAGATGGATTACGTTAGACGTTCTAGTGGACAACAATTAAACCCCAAGTACACTTTGCCCACTGTCAAACATGGAGGCGGGTCTGTTATGGTTTGAGGTTGCTTGGGGTTTGGGATGGGACCTTTACATAGGATAGATGGCATTATGGATAAGTTTGTAAACACAGACATACTAAAGCATGTCATGTTACCCTAGATGGAAGGCAATATGCCCTTAAGATCGATCTTCCAGCAAGATAATGACCCGATGACACTTATAAGTGTGATAAGCAAATACAAGATAAAAATTAATCAAACTAGGATGAACTTTTTGGCGCTTTAGAGCAAAAGTGGAGACAGATTGATGAATCTTATATCCAGAAACTTGTACAATCTATGCCGAGACGATGCCAGGCGGTGATTGATAATAATGGTTATGCTACAAAATATTAACACAAACAAGGTTGGTTTTCTATAATTCAATAAACTTTGCTTCTTTTTTCTGTAACTGTTTTGCTTTGTCTGTATATTTTTGTCCTTCACAGTTCCAGTTTTTTCAATTATTTTTTATTGAAGGGAGTCTAATGAATTTATTTATGTATAAGTGAGTATTATGCTATAACGAATTATATATACAGGTTGGTGTATTACCATGTACGTTTTATAATTTATTAAATCGTTGATATAAACTAAAAATAAGATCGGATCCTATACTATAATAATAATAAAAACATGTATCCACTCAATGTACAAGGAAAACAACATGAGTAAATAAATACATGGGCCAATAATTTCAAGCTGTAACTGTAGAATATAGATGACAAAAAGGGCAAGAATTGATCACAGTGGATTATGTATTGATGTTCGTATTTATGAGTTTATGAATTTCAGTCCTAGATATACATGGTGGGCCATAAGAGTGTTGGCGATTTAAATCTTAAATTTCTCGGAAACGCGGGGCGCGGGTTTGGAGGGCGAGGCGATGAGCTGTTAGCCGCGCCGTTGCCTGGAAAGTTAGTCGCCATACACGGGAGCGCGGCGTGCATTTTGTGTCCTAGTGTATTATGAAAACAATAAATCGGGGGCTATCTCAAATCGGTGGTCTACGAGAATAATCCAATTAATTTAGAGCAGCTGAAGAGGAATATTGTTCAGGAAAGTAACAAAATACCGAGAACAACTTTTCAACAAGTTTTCCAAAATCTGCAGCTTCGGTTTCAAGAGTGCCAAGTAGTTGAAGGAACTCATTTGAACAAAATTATTTTTAAGTCTTAAAAATTCCGTTCTACTTTTTAAAAATACATTTATTTTTCTTTTATATTGCGTAGTTATTTTTTAATTGAATATTGGAATTGAGGAAACATCTTTATGGCCCACCCTTAGAATGTAATCACTTTTTCAAATTTCCATCGAAATAATTTCCGAAATGTAATTTTTTTAAACCTAGGTATACTTTCATAAAATTTTGGCGGTAAATAGAAATTCGACCGCTGCATTATAGATTTATGTGGCTGAGTACCTATATAGAACAGCTTCCAAACTAAGAAGCATATTCCAACCTAGATCGTACATATATGCACAATATAACTTTTTCAAAATATTTAGATCACTGCTCGCTTTACAGTTTAAATCGTATGAATATAGATAAACTGAATTACAATATAGACAATAAGCAGCATTTTAAATCTACTTGCAGCTCCAAGACAAGCCCTTGCTGGATGGTGCCACACCCCCTGTAAATACGATAATCTTCGAGAACACAAACTTCAAGCAAGCTCCAGGAGCGAGATCGACTCGCACTGACAGCAAACCTCGCACGGGCCCCGTCGGCGCCTCTACCGGCAGCGGTGGGAAGCTAGAGGAGAGCGCTACGTCTCCAGGGAGCGTCATCGACGGCTCCGCCATGATGGGCGGTTTCAACAAGGCCGGCGTCATCAACGAACTACTGCAAAACAAGGTTTGTATCAACCATCAATGTACTTTTACGAAGCCAACGTCCATAATTGTTTTTTTTTCAATAAAACTTTTCATATTGATCAGGAGTTTTTTACAAATACCTGAACAAGGCAACGTTAGTCGACGAGTGACGTACAGATTACATTTCTTTGTTTACAATTTGTATGACGTCACATCATGACCGATAGTGTTTTCACTCTTTCATATTCAAAATAAAAAATATTTTTTTTTAATCGACTAAAATGGATATCGATATATTTCATTTTCTAAGCCAAATACTGTAACATTTCTTCTATCAAATTTGATATATGAAATTCGCGTCAATGCAAAGTGTCGAGAATAGAACTAACTATATTTTTATTGTTGATCAGGATACGAAGTCCGACGGCGGTATCCAACTACCTTTATTCAAAGAAGATTCTGCCGACATGAAGCTGGACTTTTTCGGCTCCGATTTGCAGTTTTCATCCTCGGATGACAAAGGAAAGAACTTGTGCATGACGAAATCTATACACGCTATAGCCAGCGGTAACAATACTGTGGACAGCTTGGATATAAAGATAGCGTCAGTAAAAAAGGTGTGGGAAACCTCGGAGCAGGAGAGTGAGGAGATGAGGTATGTTCAAATATATACTGGATGCTTTTTTTCTTGTAATTTACATGAAACCGTGGGAGTAGAAGCATTTGTTACAGAGATGTATTTGATTAAGGCAACTACAGAGACATTTTTAAAGTCATTAAAAAGTAATTTTTACATATTATATTTTTGGTAATTCGTTGACTTCTTACAGTTTTGTGGGTCCTCCGTTGGATTCTAATGTGTTCAATCAGAACAAGGATGCTTCTGACGAGGCTCACCATCATCACGACGCGTACACCTCATCACCAAACCAATCTGTCAGCACAACAACTAATGTGTGCAAGGTAAGTTTTTGTAATGAGTGAATATGCAGATATCTCAACAATATTGTCCGCAATACCAGACTTTCTGATCAGATGGTCTGCAAAATTTTTACATGAATCTGATTACAAGGTATTTGAAAAAAATTGTGTTTTAGCAAGCATGTTTTATTCAGGTGAAACCGACGCAGCAAGTATCCGGTGGTACCGGTACAGGCGGTACCGGCACCGCTCAAACTGTATTGGGCGCAGCGTCCGGCGGCCACGGGCAACAGCACAGCGGCGGAGGTGGGGCCATGGTAGCCCCCGGCCTGATGGGAAATCCGTTATCGCCACCGCCGCCGATGCCGCAGGTGTTGGGCGCCGCGGCGGCAGCGGCAGCAGCAGCCGGCGTCGGATTAGGACCGCAACAGTACACGACCAATCAGCACATGGGGTATCAGGTGAGTGTTTTTTTTTTGTTTCTTATGCATTGCTAGGATAGATAGATAAATAATAATTATTTATTTGATAAAATGCAACACGTGCCAGTATTTGTAAGGTTGAAAGAACATGCAAACATAAAAAAGTGGCTCCGCTACCGAAATATAGGGTGATCAAGTTTTATTCACGCAATTTAGGATTTTAGACGTTCATCAGGAAGAAACACACAGTTTTCGGCTCAAATTAAACCAGCGACGCAGAAACTGAGGTATCTGGAAATAGGAAATATTTTCTACGCCATTGGCTTTTTATCCGGAGAAAACAGTGTATTTTACAAAACAACATTCAATTTTCCATAAATTTTGTCTATTAAGGAATTTTTGGCAGATAACTCGTTTTGGAGATATTTAGGTTTGAATATTTGAGGTAAAATCCTAAAATATTTTTATAAATAGGTTTAACCTCCCCTATTCTGAGAACACCGTGAAACTTGATAATTATTGTAAACACTATATGGCATGTAAAAAATACTGTGGCACCTCATTACAATAGTAATTGAATAATATGCGCGTCTTATTCTAAATCAGTAGCGTAGAAACTTACCACTCATTAAACTATGCTTTTAGTTATATATCTAATAGTTAGTTTTTTTAACAATTTTGGGAACAGTCACACCAAAAGGTAATGCTATATTTTAATCTACTTCCTTTATGATCAATGGTCAATCCCGAAAATTTGATTCTGTCTGTTTTGTGTATCATTTCAAATCCATAAAATCTAGGGATCATTTAAATGTCATGAATTTTGTCTTATTGACATTGAAAGTCAAGTAATTGTTGTCAGACCTTGAAAGTATCTCTCCTAAGTGAATGCTCTTCCCATTTTAAAACTTCTAGTGTATTTCATACATAGTTTAAGCTATCTTTTGGGGGAAAGATTCAGGATAAAGTTGGTGGAAGTTACCCAAATTATGGCTTAAAGCGATTATTTCCGGTTTTGCACACTATTTTTTTCAAATTTCAATATTTTAGAATATAGTAAAAAACCTTCAATTTCACGTCAAAATATATTTAAAATGATTATTTGAGCTGAAAAATATTCGTAGTGTAGACTATTAATGCAATATCTCGCAAACCAGTCGACCTAAATAAGCGCATGTCATCTATTTACTTAAGAATACGTACCTCCTTATTTAATGCGCATACCATTTTAAGACTTCTGATGTATTTTAAACACACAGGGTATATTTTAAAGTACAAAAATTGAAAACCAAAAAATGCGATGTTTCCCAAATTTTATTTTGAAATGTTTACTTTCGGTTTAGCATCTTGTTTTTTTTTTTAAATTCTAAATTTGTTTTTTTTATAAAAAATTTCCTATATAAAATTCTGTTTCGGATTGCAATACAATACTTTTCAATTCGAATAAATTCCTTGAAAGAATCCCAAATCCAAATACTCGTTACTCAGCAAATGAACGTGCCTCGAAAAAAAATCGTGTTTTCTCTTTCACACCTATTAGATATACAAACAGGCCAAATATTAACGAATTGTAAAACCTCCGCTAGAGGTTATAGAAAGATAGATGGTTTATTGAATTATTAGAACGTGTTACATGATATAAGACTTGTCAGTATGCAACTGAAGGTCATATATGCGGATGAGCAAATATGCCGGAAAAATACGTATACATGTAAAATAAACAACGACATTACAATTACAAAAAGGTATATAACATTTCAAGTTAAATCGTGATCACGTGAAATATCCCAATTTTTACAATTGTTCCAGGCGAGCCTGTCCGGCAGCACCCAATACGGCATCCCAGCTATCCCTTCGCCCCCCACGGTGCCGTTGGTGTACGGCCAATCGACTCAGCAGCAGCTTCAAGCGGCCGCCGCAGCTGCGCATCAAACCGCAGCTGCCGGTCTGTACGGCGCTTTCCAAATAGACCAGATCGGCCAAGGCCGGTCACAGTTTTCGCAGTACCCGTCTGCGTACCACGCGCACGGGGGTTTAGGACAGACGGCCAGCAGTCCCTATACTACCCAGTCTGTCTACCTGCAGGTATTTATTTGTCTTCCTTGCATTCAAAAGTCATAAATTTTGTCTTGTTAGCATCGAATGTCAAATAATTATTGTATCACTATTTTTTTGATTGATTGTATATCACTATCAGTGTTTGTCTTGATTTCATTTGTATCTGTGCCTTGCCAAAGTTTGATGATGTAGCAAATACGTATTACAATCTAAACATCCTAAAAATTGCAAACCTTCAACGACGCTCTGATCAGACGTCAAATTAGAATAATCTAAATGGTATCTCGTATTCTACATGTAAAGTCCTTTCAAACGATGTAATACATGTACTTGAATTCATAATTTGTATTTTCAGGCAGGGCCCCCTCACGCACCTCCCCCTCCAACGGCAGCAACGGCTCAAGCGCCACCTCCCGACTTGTATTCGAACTACCGATTATCGGCCGCGTTCGGTCAAGGTGGCCAGTTGAGCAACCCGTCGACGATGTTGATCAGCTCTACTACAAACAGCCTCATGTCGGCGTCGTCGGTGAAACCTGCTGGCGGGCAAACCATTAGTGCAATAGGTGAGTGGTATATAATCTCCCATGTTTGGTTAATGAAACCACTTATATTTGAAATTCCGCTTTAATGTACTAAACGCTTCGGTCACTATGATAGTACATGACACTTTTGACAATATTTTATTTATTTGTCTTCCAGGTGACTTCATTTTCATTTTCCTAAACCGAGTTACTGCAATAGTTTGAAAGATCCGTAGCATGCCGAGATTGCGCGACGTCAGCATTCCAAATTTTAAGATGGTACAACGCAAAACCAGCATAGATCAGGACCGCCTGGTGTAGGCGTTCCCAATCCCAAAAGAACGTCTAGCCCCCCAAAACGACAAGCGAGTATGAGATGAACTGTCGATTTTTTAATGTACCAGATACGTCACCCTAATCCGTAGTTCCGAAAATGCCAAAAGCCCAGAACTGTTGTAACACACCGGTTAATATTGATGCAATCTTCGACTAAAATGTTGCTACTTTTTTTCCGGATCTAGAGCGCGAGAAGTAGCACTTCGACACTTGAAGGGAACCGTGTTGTTTGTCCCGTGACAAAATATTGTCACAACAGTTTAGCCTTGAGATGGCGAGGTGAAACATCTGCGCGTTTGAGCTCCAACAATGAGAATAAAGCCAGTTCTGGATGTACTAAGTTCGACACGGATAGGATGGGAGGACGGAATCAGTGCGGGGCTGTCTGACAAGCACACCGCGCGGCGGCGTCATAGAGGAGCAAATCCCGTTGGTCTAGCGGTAGAAGAGAGCTAGATCGCCGACGACCCGCCGGTGCAAAAGGGTCCCAAACGTCTAATCAATACTCGAGGCTAGGTCTAATCTGACCCTTGTCATGTGGAATAAAGTACTTCTTAGCCCTAAACAAATAGTCTAGCTTTTTCCCAGCAGCTGCCGCTATTAATGAGATGTGGTTGTTCCAGATCAAGTCCCCGGTGATCTGGACTCCGACCAGTCGAAATTAACGGCTCTTTGGCAGAATGCAGCCATGCATCGAAACCGGATGAGCGCCAGGACGTTTTTTATTCGTCAAGAAACAGTGCTCTGTTTTGGAACCATTAAACTGTACTCCAAGCATAACCTCCAGGTCTCTCGTCAAAGAGGAAGTCGCTGCTAGACTTCTTCTGTCCAGCTCATTGGCAGAGATCGGTTTGCCGCTCTGAATTCCTACATGGAGGTCTTTGATGTGTAGGAGGAACAGCGTCGGAGCCAAGATCGATCCCTGGGGAACACCCGCGTTGATGTTGTGGGATGAAGAGGAGAACTCTTCAACTACGACGGATATCTTGCGGCCAGGGAAAAAGCCAGCCACTCATCTGTAAAGCTTCTCTGGAAGTTTGCATAAGAGGGCAGCATGCCACAGCTGATCCAGGGCTTTCGTGATATCCAGAGCAACGACATGAGCCTCACAAATAATGGTCGTGTTGCATTTGTGTTTATTTTTTCTGACTAATTCCATTTGTTTGTTTTAGGTACGAAGGCGGGCGGCGTCGGCCAAGCCTTCCAGCCCTCCCCCGCACAGCAGTCTGCGGTCAGCCAGCAATCTCAACAGCAGCAGCAACAACAGCAACAGCAAGTCGCGTACGCGATGTACGACCCGTCGATCGCCGCCGCGGCCGCCAATTATCTTGCGGCAGGCGGACCGGGGATGCGGGGCGGACCGCCTTCGGGCAATCCCAGCTCGGCTGCGGTGCAGAATAGCGTCGCTGCGGCTGCGGCAGCTGCAGCCGTACAGGTGAGTCTATAACTGACTTTTTTGCTTTTTCCCGACGAGTTATGTTATCCATTAATAGTGTGTTGGACAAGTACTTCAGGCTAGATAAAAAAAGGTGAGAAAAAGTTTAGCAGATATCTAAAAAAAAACTACACGAAATACCTATTTTTTTGTGTTTCTTCCCGCAAATCGTTCGTAGCATTCTGGTATTAGCAAGTTTTTTTTTATAAAAAATGAGATGGCATTACTGGAGGTCTAAGTTGTAAGTTGTATGTGTTTATGATAATTGGTTATTGTCTCAAATACACTTAATTGAGATTCAAAGCTAGAAATTAGTTGCGCATCCACTTTTTCTTATCCATTCTGGAAATTACATATACAAATTTGCTGAATTTCAAAAATGAGAGAGATAAGAAATAATTATATTCACTGTACAGTGTCAAATTACACGCCATGTACATGCTAACAGTATTACACCCAACGCGGGCGCGGTGATGATTTCCCGTAATTCTGCTCAGTTTTTTCGTAATTTATAACTTTGAACATAACCTCTCATCAGAAAGCACAACATAAAAATACCCCGTCGGGCACAGTCAACATATATTTCTTTGTTAGCATATTCAGTAATGATTTTCTCACACAGCAAATATCACTGATTTTATACACATTCAGACCAATACACATAAATCATCCAGATTCGATCTTGCTATTTAATCAACTTTCTTCTCCGAGATAAAAACTACAGACAAGGACCATTTGGAATCACAAAACATATGCAACCAATAATGGGGGTAGTTTAGTTGAGTGATTCCTCCTTAGATGGACGTTCACAACGATCCTAGTGAGCAAACGTGGAATGACTGTTTGCGCCCTAAACACTACCTAGTTTGCAAGATGACATCTTATAGGTTGTTTTTTTTTTTTGACGTTTTATACGTTTTTTTATGTTTTATAGGTTTTTTACATGATACCCGTGCCGATATGTCTTCGTGACTAATTGACATTAATTGTCGTATTCTTACTATTTGAATCTTTCCTTATTCTCAGGGCTTGCAGCCATCGTCTTCATACTACTCTGGATCGACCAGTCAAACTGGTTACTTCCAACAACCCGGCAACTCGTCCATGCAATCCACCCAGCAACTTTCGCAGCACCAGGCCGGCTATGGTCTGCAAGGGAACGTGTTCGGTTCGCACGGCCAGTCGCACACCGGCACCGGATTGCAGAGCTACAACTCCCATTTTTTGACGACGCCCATGCAGGTGAGAAACATGACGCTGATAACCGCTATTGACTTACCTAACACCTTACATATATGAATCCGAAAAGTGTCGCGGTTTCCACGCCCAAGTCAGGGAATATGTTTTTGATATGTACAGTGATGAGGGGTTTTTAATGAAAACTGAATATATTACAGAAACTGAGGCATTTAAAATTTATATGTATATAAATATTTTTAAAATAAACAACAAACTTTAAACTTGTGAAAAAGAAAGGTTTGTTACCTTTAGATATATACCAAGTGTATACATACATAAATATATGTAGTAACACAAAACAATGAAATAAAAAGTCACTTTTAGGTCGCATAAATTCATATATTGTCATTAATTTGTCTCAGCTTTTTCTTTAATATGCCTTCTTGAAATCGTATTTGTCATTTAGAAAGAATCTGCAAAGACTATATCTCCCTGATTGTGGCTTTAATCGTCATTGAAAACTAATTGTATTATAGCGAGTACAACACTATCTACTATTATGGTATCATACCCTTCAAACAACCATGAATGTCCGTTATATTTGGCGTTTATATAATGTGCATTTCTTTTACTAACTGTGACTTATCCCTTTTTTTTTATTAGGTGGCGGCAGCTTTGAATGCCCAACAGTTCCGTTCGGGCTTGCCAGCTGCAGCTGCGGCCGCTGCCTACATGAAAGGCGTTGCTGGACAGCAAATGGGAGACCAAGCAACCAGAGCTCAACAGCTCAAAAGCCCTGGTAGCCAGGAAGTGCTATCTTCAGTTTTTAACACTGGTAATTATCATATTCACTAAAGACTTTGGACATTCGCAGAGTGATACACAAAGCACATTAAGGGTGACGGTTCTCTCAAATTTTATAACCAGTACCATACATAACAACACTGTTAAAGATCTTTTCACGGTTATATTACAATGCCATACGAAATAAACTTATTGATTAAATGTACCATGTGCTGCGTTTAACTATCGCTATTATAATTGTAAAGCTAGAGAGACAGCTAGAAAACTTATGAGGGACAGGGGTGTATGGAAGAAGGTTTTACAGTGAAAAACACTGAAAATACTGATAGAAAGTAGTATTTCATATTGAAAAACAATTTGTTCACTTTCTGGAAATCCAAAGAACAAAAGATGGCCAGAGATTGTGATGAAAAGTTTGTCTGAATCATTTTTCTATAATCACAAAGTGTAAAGATTACCTTGTATCCGCTGCTGAACTGATTAAATGTTTACTAATGCAATGTTTGTGTTTTGCTCAGGACCCCAAATCCCTTCGCCAAAATCAAGACAGAACATGAAGCAGCCCCCTCCCCAATCGAGCCCCACTGCTCAACAAAAATACAACCTGTACCAAGCTGTGGGTAATCAACAAAACCCAAATGTAAGTATAAAATAAGTGTTTTTCTTATCTGTATTCTTTGTGTCAAATACATTGGACACAGGTTTATATAAATTACCCGTAGTTTAGTGGTAAAATATATTGATCACATGTTCGAAGATAACACTTCCTGCCAGCAGTATATTCAAATATGGACATACTTTTTAAAACTGTCTTGTACTAGATTTTGTTAAAATACAATTATTTTATTCTTTGAGTTCCTAACAGATGCAAGGACTGGAAAAGTAAAACCTCAATTGTTTTATGGAAGTGTATAAAATGCCTGTAAGATATTTGGCAGATAGGCTTATTACGAGGGGATATTTTTATGTATATTTCCGAGACGCCTTCAGAAAGTTCGTAAAGAAGTGAATCGACAGTATGCAATGAAGCATAATAATTGTTGATAGAGTGCAGCAAGCTTTTGAGAAAAATGACAGCGGTGTGAAATGAGATTGGCGTATTTAAGAACTTTGATACACGATCGACGCTTGACCTTTATTGTGTATTGCTTTGTTATCCTCCAGGCACTCCTACAGTAACAGTGATTGAAAAACTACTCAAAATAAGAGGTGTATTTTTATATAATCTACCTAGCTATGAAAATTAAGCATACATTATTGCTTATTATGTACAAGCTGTTTGCAAAATAGCGTAACTTTCAAAATTTCATAAAAAAGGGTAAAAAAAGGTCGACCTGTATTGGAGTCATGCTTGTAAATTTGTGTGATGATATGAAACAAAATATACAATCAGTGTTTGATTGAAATATAATATTCAACTATTTTGTTTACAGCATATTTTCAAAATCACAAATTTTACAAATAGGTGAGGATAATTTTAAATAAAAACAAATATGCTAACATTCTGTTATTACTGCATTGATTGAATTAAAAATCATTCATTATCACCACATTTAGAAAACTTCATAAAATCGAACAATCGTTGTCATAACTATGAAACTAGAATCTGTATTTCAAAAGGGGAAATTTGAATTTAATAAATTGAATAATGTTAGAATTTTAAAATGTCCAAGGTGAAAAACCGCTTCACGAGTACCCAAAATGCATAGTGATGAAATTTTAATAGACAATGTAAAATTAAAAATAAAATGTAAAAAATATACAAGATTGACATTGTAGCATTAATGCTAAATAAATCTTCCAAAAACACACAAACCTAAACTTTGAGACAATTTTGGATGTCGAAATTTTTAAATTACGTGAAAATTTACCCCAACTGGTTATAAATACCTGAGGGTAAGACGATATCTAGAACCCTATTTTTGATGTTTAAATTGTCTCTATTTTGGGGCGGAGATCGCCTCTAGAAATATAAATAGCTTCTGCCTTGTCCACAAGTCGTACATTCGCTAAATTTTCATCAGTACTAAAGTTTGTTAAAAAAGGACTGTAATAATGTACTAGTTGGTGAGAAAAATGCTACATTGGAAGCATGTTCCGAATCATAGTCAGGTAGATCACATAAAAATATCCTCTCGTAGTATTTTTTTTATCGTAAAAATCGAACTTTGACATTGAATACTTGCCTTACGACAGATTCAAAGGTATCCCCCGCCGATACAGAGACCGGTAAATTACCAACAGATGCAACAAAATAATTCCGTGAATCAGAAGCACAGAAGTGGTAATCCCGGCGGCTACAAAGCTCCGAACAGGCAATATTATGGCGGACAGAGTAAGTGATTCACCACAAATTCATATGAGGTACCAATTTCAAGTATTTTGAATAAATTCAAAAAAAAAATTGGATCCTGCCTAGAAAAATGTCTCCAAGACGACATCCTTTCAATTAAATAAGTTATTGTTTTAGGTTTCTATGCTTTTCTGTTATATTTACTTTATTTTGTGAAAAGTGGTCGTCAATAATCATTCTTTTAAATGCGTGGAGGATAACAAAGTATTTTTGCGATTTTCTCAATATACAAAATTCACACACAACAATATTTTATGAGATATTTATAAAGGTCCTTTATACAGGGTGGTGCAAAACGCAAAATGTTTTTCTCAAAAGATTTTGAATGGAATACACTGTACATTTTACACCATCAGATTTACCTTTTTATAAGATTTATTTTGACAAGGATTATACTGGTTGGTTATTTATGAAATTCTGGAACATCCTATAATCAACTATTTGGCCACCTATTAACATCCAGTGGAAACAATAACTTGTCACAGTTCTCTGCTCAGCCCAAGGCTACTTACATGGGTTTGCTTCGTCACAAAATTGTGCGACACCCTGTATATCAGATATCAATCTTGCTGCAAAAGCCTTTTTCGAGTGTCTTTCATTGTGTATAAAATAAAACTACTTTCAATTTTCGTTGGGACACCCTGCATATGAGACTATTGAAATCCGTCAGGATATTTTGAGTGCAGTATATACAGTACTGGACAAAAGTATATAGACAAATATGAATATTTACCTAAATAATAATTAATACTTCATTGCTCCATAAACAAATGCGTTATTGATAGAAAAACTAAATTCCTTGTTTTTACATTATCTGCAATGAACACAAGTCTGAGTATAAGCACTTTTTTATGAGGGACAAAAATATGTAGACAAATTCTTTTCAACGTTAGTTTAGTACAGTTTCGTGTCAGAAGAGGATTAGCTTGTGTTCATCAAGTATTGTGGAATAAGTTGAGTGATTTTAAGACCATGCCGAGTGGTCCAGAAATTTCTTCCGATGTGAAAACTAAGATCATTGAGTTATACAAAGGTGGTCAACAACAAGTCGACATTGCAAAAAATTTGAAGCTGAAGCGTAAATCAGTTTGGGCTATTGTCAATATTTTGAACAAATATAAATAAAAAGGTATCTTGGAAGCCTCTAAGAGAAGTGGTCGGCCTAGAAAACTAAATGCTAGATCAGGTAGATTAATAAAAGTAATTTCGCCCAAAGATCCGTTTAAAACCCCAAGACAAATAAAAGCCGAAATCGAGACAAAAGGAATTGCCAGTGTTTCTACGAAAACTAAAAGTAGGAGATTAAATGATTTGAAGTTATTTGCACGTCGCCCGAGTAAGAAGCCGCTAATCTTGAGGAAAAACCGTAAGGACCGATTACAATTTGCACGGTTGCATCTTGATTGAAGCATCTGTGACTGGAAGAAGGTATGTTTCAGTGACGAATCCAAGTTCAATATGTTTGGATCAGATGGTGTTAATTACGTAAGACGTCCCAGTGGACAAAGATTGAACCCCAAGTACACTTTTCCCACTGTCAAACATGGAGGCAGGTCTGTTATGGTTTGGGAGTGCTGTTCAGGGTTTGGGATGGGACCTTTACGTAGAATAGATGGCATTATGGCTAAGTTTGTATACATAGACATACTAAAGCATGTCATGTTACCCTATATGGAAGACAATATGCCCCTAAGATTAATCTACCAGCAAGATCATGACCCGAAGCACACTTCAAATCTCGCAAAGAAATTCTTTCTGGGTGAAAAAATACCAGTTCTCAAATGACCTTCACAGTATCCCGATATAAACCCTATTGAAAATCTATAGATATGCAATTACGAGATAAAAATTATTCAAACAGGGATGAATCTTACATCGAGAAACTTCTACAATCTATGCCGAGACGATGCCAGGCGGTGATTGATAATAATGGTTATGCTACAAAATATTAACACAAACATGGTTGGTTTTCTATAATTCAGTGAACTTTGCTTCTTTTTTCTATAATTGTTTTGCTTTGTCTATATATTTTTGTCCTTCATAGTTCCAGTTTTTTCAATTAATTTTTGATTGAAGGGAGTCTAATGAATTTATTTATGTATAAGTGAGTATTATGCAATAACGAATTATGTATACAGCTTGGTTTATTAATAAAACAAGTTAAAAAAGAAATACAGTACAATATTAATTTGTCTATATACTTCTGTCCATTACTGTATATGATGTGAAGTTTATTCGATAAATGTTTGTTTCAGTATCGAACGACAAGTCAGAGGATTCAAAGATGAATGACTCGTCAGGTCTGAATAACACAAATAATCCCAGTATTACCAAATCAGCAATTTCCGCTGCCAGTGGTACGACAGAAAAGGATAAAATTAAGGAAGAAACATCAGCGTTGAAGGACTAAAAATTTATCTTTAGATTTGTTTACTTTAAGTGCTAAAACAATGTTTGTAAATTATGAAAATTCACATGAATGATTGTAGTTGTAAAGGAATTATTTCGTAACAATTTGTATTAAAATGTATGAGATTTTTTTCAAAAGCGATTATTTATTGTCTTAATTGTGCTGTAAACGTATATAGATACAAAGCATTTTAGCTTTTCTCGAAGGGTCTCCAATCTAGAGTCGTAGGTATTGTATATGTTACTTTTCCATACATTCTTGTTTCCTTTCTTGAAAATATATTCAATTTTTTTCTTAATAAAACGTAATTGTTGATTTGTGCGTTTCATGTCCCATATAATTTATCCAGAAAAACTAGCAACAAAAATGAACATTTAAACAGTCTGGTGAAACAACTTCGCAAGTTTCTTCGAAGGGGATAGTCGTTGCGATTCTACTATCCTGGTAGCAAATCTCGGTTCCTAAAATTGGAGGGTTTCGACCAGGAGTATTAGATGATCAATGGGGATTTTATTTTTCTAAAAAAATCAAGAGATCAGTTTAATTTTCTTCCTATTACATATCAGCGGCAGGTGCAGATTCGATACCCCCTCACATTCCTGTTATCCTGCCAACGCATCTTAATTCCTACAAGGTTTCAATATCGAGGGTCTAACAACCTGGTATTAGGATCGCATAAGCGATGAGAGGAGATTTAATATCGGGTGCAGATTACAGATTCGATACATCCTCCTGTTCCTGTTTATCCTGGTACCAAATCTCAGTTCTAGGCCAACTCAGCATGGAGTATCGTGGGTGGAGACCATGTGTTTCTAAAAACATCATCAGGATCGCACAAGCGACCAGAGTCTTAACAAGACGAGTTTAATTTCCCGCCAATTTTATACCAGGAGCAGATTCGATATTTCCTCGCATTTCTGTTATCCTGGTAGTGAGTATTAATTCCTACAATTCGAAGGTTTCAGCCTGAGTATCTGTTCACAAGGTGTGGTGAAATTAACTTCGCAAGTTTCTTCGAAGGGGATAGTCGTTGCGTTTCTATTCTGGTAGCAAATCTCGGTTCCTAAAATTCGAGGGTTTCGACCAGTATTAGATGACAATGGAGATTTTGTGTTTCTAGAAAAAATCTTGAAGAGATGAGTTTAATTTTCTGCCAATTACATATCAGCGGCAGATGCAGATTCGATACCCCCTCACATTCCTGTTATCCTGGCAGCACAGCTTAATTCCTACAAGGTTTCAGTATCTGAGGGTCTTTCTAACAACCTGGTATTAGGATCGCAGAAGCGATGAGAGGAGATTTAATATCGGGAGCAGATTACAGATTCGATACATCCGCCTGATCCTGGTACCAAATCTCAGTTCTAGGCCAACTCAACATGGAGTATCGTGGGTGGAGATCATGTGTTTCTAAAAACATCAGGATCACACAAGCGACCAGAGGTATAACGAGTTTAATTTCATGCCAATTTTATATCGGGAGCAGATTTGATAACTCCTCGCGTTTCTGTTATCCTGGTAGCAAACATTAATTCCTACAATTCGGAGGAGCATCTGTGGGGTCGAGAAGTTTTCACAAGGTGTGGTGAAATTAACTTCGCAGGTTTCTTCGAAGGGGATAGTCGTTGCGTTTCTACTATCCTGGAAGCAAATCTCGGTTCCTAAAATTCGAGAGTTTCGACCAGTATTAGATGAGTGTATTTACATAGTCTTTTTCTAACAACCTGGTATTAGGATCGCAGAAGCGACGAGAGGCGTTCAACTTGTCGCCCATTTAATATCGGGAGCAGATTACAGATTCGATACATCCTCCTGTTGCCGTTACCCTGGCACCAAATCTCAGTTCGAGGCCAACTCAGCATGGAGTATCGTGGGTGGACATTTTAGAAACATCAGGATCGCACAAGCGACCAGATGTCTTAACAAGACGAGTTTAATTTCCCGCCAGCTTTATATCGGGAGCAGATTCGATACCTCTTCGCGTTTCTGTTATCCTGCTAGCAAATATTAATTCCTACAATTCGGAGGAGCATCTGTGGGGTCGAGAGGTTTTCACAAGGTGTGGTGAAATTAACTTCGCAAGTTTTTTCGAAGAGGATAGTCGTTGCGTTTCTACTATCCTGGTAGCAAATCTCGGTTCCTAAAAGTCGAGGGTTTTGACCAGTATTAGATGACAATGAAGATTTTGTGTTTCTAGAAAAAATCTTGAAGAGATGAGTTTAATTTTCTGCCAATTACATATCGGCGGCAGATGCAGATTCGATACACCCTCACATTCCTGTTATTCTGGCAACTCGTCTTAGTTCCTACAAGGTTTCAGTATCTGAGGGTCTTTACAGAGTCTGTTTCTAACAACCTGGTATTAGGATCGCAGAAGCGACGAGAGGCGTTCAACTTTTCCCGCACATTTAATATCTGGAGCAGATTACAGATTCGATACATCCTGTTGTCCTGATACCAAATCTCAGTTCGAGGCCAACTCAGCATGGAGTATCGAGGGTGGAGATCATGTGTTTCTAAAAACATTATCACGATCACACAAGCGACCAGAGGTCTTAACGAGTTTAATTTCCCGCCAGTTTTATATCAGGTGCATATTCGATATCTCGTGTTTCTGTTATCCTAGTACCAAATATTAATTCCTACAATTTAAAGGTTTCAGCCTGAGCATCTGATGATCGAGAGGTTTTCACAAGGTGTGAAATTTACTTAGGCAGCATCTTGAACAACACTAGTTGATGTCGTCAGATGATTAAAGGATACAGTCTAATAAAATCAAAAATGGTGTTTGACATGTTTATTAGCATATTACTTTGTGCCACAGCCACAATATACAATTTCACTCGCGTGTCTTATAATCAATAGTGCAGTCCAAGAATAAATTTATTCTCAAAATCCCTAAAAATACTATTGTGCTACAGCCGTTCGCGTCTTATTCTGTATAGGCAGGAAAAGCTTGAATTCAGCAGGCAGTTCATCTTCAGAATATAGTCTGTCAGAAAAATACACTCTCCGGATACGACAATTAGCGTGAATTTGCACGCGGAGTGTTTCCACGTAATTTGTGCCATAGGCTCTTCTGGTAAAGTCAGCAACATTGAACTGGATTTGGTTCCAGCCTTCATCCAAACGCATGGGCATCGTGCATATGAATGGTTTCACCCTGGTTGTTGATTGGTAGTTGCTTGCTCTGAATCTCCGACGGACGTTCTTGTCATCCAATATCTAGAACAAATAAATGGAAAAGACTGAATTAGAGATCTAAGAATATAAAATTACAATTTTTGGACATAGCGGCGCGGCAGCTCATGCAAGGAAAGCCTGATTTCACCTTCACAAGTGTTTGGAAATTACGTTTTTTTTATACTAACATGAATATACTGATTCTGAAGATTAATGAAATTTTATTCCTATAGAAGGGAAATAAATTTATTGTTTGACATAGTGTGTATGGCTCTTTTGTCGGAAAATACAGTCTGTTAACATTTTAATATTTATTTGATTCAAATATGGATTAAAGAAAGATACTGTTTACAGATTTAGTTTATTTCTAAAGAAACATGCATAGGAGGCCATGAAATCTTTGTCTTCTATGAAGATATATTTTATGTACTTCCCACATTGAGAATCATTTTCTAGCACCCCCCAATAATTTATACCTAGTTTAAATATTCATAGAAGTATTTTTTTTCAGAATTTACAAACAGGAGTTATGGAAGAGTTATATATATATATATATATTTATAATAAAATAATAGCCCCATTTTCAGTACTGTTCATCTGTATTGTATTTCTTTGGCAAGAAGAAAATATGCATTCGACAAAAACTATAAAATAGGGGTCTGTAGGTAGTTTTGCAACGCAACAAATACATAAGAATAGGAGACAAGTTAAACACTCTTTCAGTGCTTGTCTGTAAGCCAACATATTTACTTAATCACTTTGGAGTTTATATTCAAAATTGTAAAAGGGACTTCACCTAATCGTTTAGCAACACCTCTGTGTAGAAATAATGAAATTCATAGCTATTACACCAGAACCAACTCGTATTCTCATTTAATTAAAACCAAAAGATGTGCACAATGAAAACATACATGTTCAAAGGTCCTTTTTGTTTCATCAATTTATTTTATTGCAAGCAGAATGCAACCTCTTTCCTCAACCCTAAATGAATGAAAATTAGAAATAATAATACTAATTGTTCCATGTCTGCCAGTTTTTTGCAATATCTTTTAGTAAAATTCTAGCTTGCTTATACCAGCCATTTTTCATTAATGATTTGAACCCTAGTTTTTCCAGCATAGTTTATTGTATGTAGGGTTAAGTGTTACAAAACTTCTTTTGGAAAAAGGAGCAAAGTTTGATTCCCATTAGCAGTAAAATATCTATACACAAATAAATCAAAAATGTTTCTTATGCCTTTGTGTTAAAAAATAGATGCAAGGATCTTGTCACCATCCATATGTTTGTAGAGAATCTCTTCAACACCTTTTCACAAATTGACCAAAAAATCTATAGATATTTGCCTTGATTACATAGAACGAATTGAAAATGTACAACATTATTGGATGCCATAGCTACAGTAATGTAATCATGACTCGTAAGAAACACAAAGAACTAACAAATATTGATTATTTTATTCAAATTATTGTTTGATCAATGGTCTTACATACCTGAACTTCAAATGTAAAATACTTCTTTAAATTTTTCACAATCATCACCAGATAGGGCAGCTTTATGCCGAGGGTCTTCTTGGGGTCCGCTGGACATGTGATATACGTGGTGCTCACATTACAACCGATGAGCTCCAAAACCAAAGACTGGATGTCTTCATCTGTTATGCGTTTAATATGTCCGTTCTTACACTTCTTGTCCCAGATTTGCAAAGGCTTGCTGCCTATACTGTACAAAATTGACAAAAAACCACTCTGAAACGTGTTTTTAAACATGTTTACAAACAATTTTAAACTCTGCACTCTGCTTACTTTTATGTCACCACAACAATTTTTAGGTTAAGTGAACACTAGAGATGGGGACTAATGTTTGTACGGTATTCAGGTATTCGTATCGTTCATATTTGAGGTGGGACGGCCCGAGTAATTATAACATAGACACGCAAGACAACTATTGAAATATACCCTACTAGACAATCTGTAGTTAATTTTTTCTTGAAATCGTTGCACAACACTTATTAATATTATGCAAATGAAGATCGCAAAGCTGCCGCTATATGATGCCGCCGTTACCCCGGGATAGACTTACGTTTTGGCAGGTGACCTTGCCAACTCATGGGACAATTGTGCTACCTCTGCTATTTTGCTAGAATGTTATAAAAAAACAAATGTATACGGGGTAGTACTTCTTTAAAACACCATCGTGCAGTGCCTAAATTTTATTATTTATTTATTTTTTAGTTTTTTGACATTTCTTAAAATAAAGCCAGGCAAAAATAAAAACGATTCGGGCAAATTTTAGTTTTTCTCAAATCCCTCAGTATATGACTTCTCTCAGTGTATGCAATGTGCACAATTTATTTAAAAAAACAGGATGTAAACCCTAACACACAAGTAGATGGGTATGCGAGGCTCACCCAGTTTGCTACACATATATCCTGTTTTCCTCAGAAGAGTTGGAGGTAGTCATAATTTCCACTTTGGAGACACTTGACACCCATGTCACAAAACTAAATCACCAAAGAACAATCGAGCACGCTATAGTGAACAACTACTACTGGAAAAAAAATAGGTTAACCGAATAGAGCTCTGCACTGAGCTATGAACGCGTGGACATGCCGCTACGCCGACCGGCGGTTGCCGAGAGACTGAACCGGGTGAGTGCTGTACTGCTTTACCTCGATGTGGCGATACAGTACGGGCGGGTAATACAGCCACGCCCCTTTCCAGCCCCCACTCCGCGCGTCTGCGTTTTCTTATCTGACAGTATCACGAAGCGATGATGTTTACGTTGACCGCGAGCAGACCGCGTATCGGCGCAGCGAGGTACAGCACTCACAGGCTTCAGCTACTTTTTTTCAGTAGTTCGCCGACTGGATTACAAGACGGTTCTTCTTTATAAAGTGATCCTCATATAAACCGTTACTTCAATGCTACTTTTTTTAGGTTAATAACTGTGGCATCCTGGCGATTATCGATTGTCAAATGAAGCCAGAATTGTAGAACGACTTGATTTTTCTTCACCTGATACAATTAATCTTAGTAGAGACGGTTGAGGTTTTCCTCACCCAAGTACGAATGCAGTCACTAAAAAACCATATTCCCCTGATAAATAGTAGAGAAAACGAAAATCTACTTCTATTAATGATCATGTAATTTTAGATGAAATAGTTGATAAACATATTTATATAATAAAACATTGTTCTTATCAATTGTTGGAAGTATTTTATCCTCTAAAACTGGGCATTTATAAACGTGTTCAGAGACATTAACATAAATGTAAATAACAGCTTTTTTTAGTTTTTTGCCAAACATTGTTATTGCTACGTCTCAAATTTTATATGTCTCCATTGGCATCTTTCAATATTTTGTTCAATTTTTTTTTATAACATTCTAGCAAAATAGCAGAGGTAGCACAACTGTTCGATGAGCTGGCAACGCTGCAATCTAGGTGACAAAAATGACATGGTCAACTGCCAAAACGTATGTCTATCCCGGGGTAACAATAGAGTCACTTAGTACGTCAAAGCGGCAGTTTTCCAATCTTCATTTACATTTTTCAAGCGGCGTGTAACGATTTAGAGAGAAATTTCGTTACGGATAGTCTTCTAGAGCCTAGTAGAGTATATTTCAATACTTGTCTTGCATGGCCATGTTATCTTTACTCGGACCTATTCTTTTTAATTGGGCATTCAAATACGTCTTCCATGACAACTGTTTTAACTGTTGGTAAAAAGGTCCGATTCGGCGCAATTGTGATACTTGTAGTCTAGACAGAACATTTTCCTTCTGCTTTTTTGTGCTCTCTGGTGGAAAGGGGGTGTCATTTCTAAGAAAACTGTAATAGGCGAACAACGAAAAGGTATTTAACTCTCATAGATGGCACACGAGGTATACCAAGCGTCAACCTTTTTTGTTAGGTTAGATACAACAACAAATCAAAATTTTGAATAAAACAAATATAGGCTTTGTTTAATTTTTTTAATTAATAAAATTTGGAATGTCTCAAATTAGTACGAAAGAGAAGCTTTTGTACATAATAGACGACATTGAGCTGATCTCAAAGTAAGTAGTTCTATAATTTCCTGAATATACTGGATTTTACTGTTATTTCTTACACTTACAGAGAGATAATTGAGAACGCTATTGCCCCTAAAAGCGCTAAACTCAGCGGACCAGAATATGCTCAACTCACAGAACTCTTAGTAGCCAAAGACAACGAACTGAAAGAAACCCTAAAGCTTGCAGCGGAGCAAGCCCAAATCAATAAAAAACTGGACAACCTGAAAGCTGAAGTCGAGAGACAAGATCAGGACATCAACGATCTGCAAAGGCAGCTGAAGGAAGCTGAACAAATTTTATCCACAGCTATATATCAAGCAAATCAAAAGTTAGCTTCGATAGCTAGGGCCAATAAGAGGCCTGTACATTCAGAAGAATTGATCAAGTTTGCACATAGGATAAGTGCTTCGAATGCAATATGTGCACCATTGACTTGGCAGCAAGGTGACCCTAGAAGGCCATATCCTACCGATATTGAAATGAGGTTAGGATTGCTTGGAAGACTGAGTGATCCTATCAATGGCCATTTACTAGCCCAACAGAATAGCATGTCAGATTTGCATAGAACTGGACATCCTGGGGGTATGTATCGTTCCTCAGTTCGATCTGTGTCTCAATTTGAAATTTGGGCATTGTATCAAAAACACGAACATAAAAAAATCAGGTTCAACAAATTCGCTAGTTTTATCAAAATTAGTCTATTAATACAGTTGAGATAATCTCAGGATTATACACTAAACACATTTCAATTTTTTTTCCAGAGATTCCAGCTTCTCAGCAGAACCAATTCGCCTGGCATCCATCTGGTGAGATGCACATTACTGTTGGTCAGGGCACAGTTCCAATGGATACACGAAACCACAAGCAAGAAAACGAAGATGTTGAGGTTATGTCCACAGATTCTAGCAGTAGTTCATCAAGTGATTCCCAATAACCTTACAAGTATATAAGCTTCTAATTATGATGATTGTGTACTGCCTATTTAAGTATCTCTATGATATTAGTTGTAGTATCATTAAGATAAAAATGATGAATAAACATAGATATTAATTGTCACATCTTTTCATTTAAATACTTACAATTCTCTTTACACCCTATTTCACAAGTATCCATCACGCTTTGACGTCTACTGAGGTGAACAGCTGATCAGCTAGTGACATTTTTGTGTTAGTCTGCAAGGTTGGCTATAATGAAGCAGGTGTAAATCTAGCAAAAAAATGTTTGTAGCGTTTTGTTTTTTGTATGCAAATGAACTTTTCTAAATGAAAGATCTTTAGCAAGTACAAAATGAATCTATCGTACAAATACCAAAACAAAATATGACTCTGTCTACATGCTATTTCCGAGTATCCATCACGCTTTGACGTCTACCGAGGTAAACACCTGATCAGCAAGTGACATTTTTGTGTTAGTCTGAGACGTTGGCAATAATGAATCTGGTGTAAATCTAGTAAAACTGGTTTGTTTTTGTATGCAAATGAAGTTTTCTAGATAAAAGAGCTTTTAGCAAGTGTAAAATGAATCTGTAGCCTACAAAAAACCAAAACAAACTATGGCTCTGTCTACCTGGCATTGACGGATCCGTCAGAATTATGTGTCCTTGTTGGCCGTGAAGACAGATCCTATACGGTCATACTTAGGTTAAAAGGCAGTAACGTGTAAGCATCGAAATCTGAGAAAATTGAGTGGATGTTTTCGTGCTAAATACATAGTATTATTATGACAGAAGAAAAGTGAACGGATATTCCAAAGTTTCATGACTTTTATGGGGAGCCACTTGAATGTGATTTTGGATCATAATTGTTCTTGAGGCCTAAAATAAATTACATTCTATCTTTAATTCTTCTAAATCAAAAAGCAGTACATGCATGCAGCACATGTGATTTACTGCTTTTATACTCTGCAAAAACAAATGAGATAATTGCCTTTTTTCGTAGTTTTCAGAATATGTTTAGATTACTTTTCAAAGGAAAAACGCAGTAATGCAGATTTTTATTTTATTTTTATTTTAATTTATTCATACTGAAATTCACACAAATAGCACAAAAGTAAACTTTTTCGACATCTAATAATCAATCAACAAAAATACATGGATAACCTAAAAACAGCATGTTAAACGAAGAATATTTTTCAAAATTGTTCTTTCGGAGCAAAAGAATCGTTGGCAATAATGAATCGGGTGTAAATCTAGTAAAACTTGTTTGTAGCATTTTGTTGTTTGTATGCAAATGAAGTTTTCTAAATAAAAGAGACGTTAGCGAATACAAAATGAATCTCGAAAATCAAAACACAGCTCTGTCTACCTGGCGTTGACGCATCCGTCAGAATTATGTGTCTTGTGCCGATATGGGGAATTTCTGAGATATAACTAGATAATCAGCTGTCATTGTACCGTGATCGATACTCGTGAAACAGGGTATACGTGCATCATACAGAGATTAATAAGACTATTGATTTTTGTTTGATTTACTGCTTTTATGCTTAGGAAATATAGTTAATAAGAGATATTTGACAAAGTGAAAAACTAGCTATTTTTGTTGAATAACGTGATCAATTTTGTAATTAGTGATTATAAAAGAAATGTATTGGAGTGAAAATTCAAAAAACGCAGAAAAGAAAGTTACTTCCTTTTATCTAAAAGTACGGTAGTATATCATTGTACTGCTATTATCTTTCGAAAAATAATCTCGCGAGTTATAAATAATGGAATTTCTTGGTAGATATTATCTTCGTGATACACATGTAATCATGATTCTCGACAGTTCGGTGGGAGCTGGATTACATACATATTAATAAGCTGCACTACAATGCTTAATGGATAACTCGATGCGGATTTGTCGCTTCGCATCTGCCATTGCATAAGTATCTACAGGGTGTCCCCTCTCTTTTACACGGCGTATAGATTTGGAATAATAAGCGATCTTTTTCTATACACCAAAGTGTACGATTACCGAAATGTTATGTTCCGCAAAATCATTCAAACCTAATCAAAAGCTAATCGGGTCTTGCACCTCGATCAGATCACAAACAAAACCTTTACACATCTGTTCTAAAAAAGGGCACACTTTTACAGCAATATCGGAGTTGTTCATATTATTTTAATTTACGGTGAGAGTCTTCGAAATGCTACCGAGGCTTCACGAGTGCATGCAGATCGTTTTTAAGATCCGTCCAGATTTATTTCTTCATTTGGGGCGAAATGAACAATTTGATGTATAAAACTGAGGTGAACTCGATTGACGAACGACGAGTATGCATTTAGAAATTTGAAAGTCTACACCGATACTTGGCTATGTCGAGCACATACATGGGTCTGTGAATATATCGCAGACAACTTTGAACAATACTCCCAACTGAAAGCTGTACTTTAAATATATTTTCGATGAACGCCGAGTATCTTTTCGTTACTTTTTTACTTTTCCTCTCTTTGACCGCATATTAGCTTTGTTATTACAAACGTAGGAAAGAGGAGGAAAGTTCCAACTTTCCGGACACCCTGTATATATTATGAAAGTGAGAAATCTACCGACGCGTCGCAGGGAAGGTCACATTTAGCGTAAGATGATAAAATGCAAGGTAGAGTGTCGCATAAAGGAATATATGACTTTTCAGATTTTTCTAGAAGAAAAAATTGTAAACGAAATATACGTAGGCTATTGATCTCAGTTCGTATTAGTTGTGTTGTCACCTACAGTTTACAGCCAAATTGTTACTTGGTTACTTCTCTATTCCAAAGTCCAAATCTCGGCCGTTCTCTATGCAACTAGATTCTAGAATTTAAAATAACATACCAAAGAGCACAGCCAGGAGGTACATTTCAGTTCGATTCTGCTAGCAAGGAACTGTCCTGGTACTTGATGAAGGAAAAAAACAGTTATTTGATGCTGAGAAGAAAAGTTCATAAAATCAGGTCATCTGTTTTCTTGATAATTCGTTCTTCCGTATAACATCGCCTCCTTTTATGAAAACGACAAATGCATTGACAAGAAGCATTTTTTAAATAATTTCATTCATATAGTCCTTATTACATATTGTGAAAGTCCTTTTCGTGCAATGACAGTCACGTATTAAGATCAATTATATCTATTTTTGAACAGAAACCTCACTTTATCCTATTAGCATAGAAGGTAAGAAGAATTCCCAGTGACGTAATAAGTAACAGTCATTTACCTACCAGCGGCAGGTACTTTTTTACAACTCTGTTAATCCCAAGATCTTTTTAAGAGCAACTTGACGAGTTGGAAAGTCCAACCGTTTAGGTTTATTTTTTGCTGTTGATGTAGTTCTTTTTCAGGTGGATACCCATCAGAAAATAATGGCTATGCGGTCTATACTATACAGGAGGATGGCATCCTCGGGTAAGCTGGTTTTGACGTACATAGCTTGCTGGCTATCAACTTGATGTTTCATCTAGTGCGATGCAGATAGCAACAATATTGCTTCTATAATCTCCCGTGTTTGTCTCGTCAGTCAAACTACATACATTTTCTGATAATGATTAGGAGTATTTGAAACGTTAAAAGACGAAATTGGACCGATTTTCAAAATCAAGAAAGCTTTTGCGTACTTGGCATAGAAGTAACCTTGTGTGCAATAATATTGTTTGCTGCAATTACACAGCATACCGGTTCCTCAAGCTTAAACTTAAAATCTGGTTTCTTGTAAGAACGTGAAGAATGGCACATTCAAGTATCCTAACTTCTTATATCGTCACCCCTCTGGCGCGCAGATCATTAAATTCATACAAATAGGATCGAATCGACCTTACAGACCTATATATATATATATATATATATATATATATATATATATATATATATGAAAATGGAGTTCAAAGTGGAAAGGCACATAACGAGGGATAACGATTACAGGAAAGGTATCGGGAACGCGCCTATTCAATTTCCTAACTGAATGTCAATATTTATGGTGGCGATTTTTGGGTCCATTTTAAGAAGTAAACTTTATATAAAGTAACTTTACAGGTATTACGTATCCTGCTAGCTGGCTGGAACTATGGAACTTTGAGTTTTATCATTTGACAGCGGACTTTTAGCCGCTTATCTCTTCCTATCTTAGACCACGTACGGTTTTCCCATAAAACAATATAGTCGAAATATCGAAAGATGACGATTACGTCATGATTTTAGTCTGTAGTAAAAACAAACGCCAGCGATTTGTGAATATTTTTAATGAGGTTTCAGATATGCTAGACAAAGAAAAACAGAATTTTATTGTCTAAGAGCCGTTTTTCACACAAGAGAATTACTCAGAAAATTATGGTCATAATTATGCTGAAAATTTGCATGGAAAGAATATTGAACATTTTCTCTACAACCTCTATGACACAAGCAAACAAAATTTCGGAGTAATTCATATGATACGCCTGCGCATTAGAGTAATATTTTCGAATGGACATAACCTTAACGGGTATGACGTCCAATATAATCGGAAAGACAACAGACGTCGATAATTTAAATTTATTTTTGAAATCGAGATCTTGGTTAATATTATGAAACTTCTCAATGCTTGGACTATCGCATCCAGCGGCTGACGCCGCAAAATTCTCTTTTTGTAATTGGGTGACTTCACCTTGTACAGGTTTGGCCATTTTTGGTACTCCTCCAACAACAGTGTAAATTCTTCCCGAATCCACGACATTATGAATAAACAATAACAATAAACGCTCCTTCGTACGACTCGAACAGGACCACTCCCACAAATGTTAAGTGAGGTTATGTTGTTATTGTTGTCGTTGACATTTGATATTGACATGCACGGAAATAACCCTCTGCGCCGATTCTCGCGCATATTCTATAGAACGGGTTTTATATTTTTACCATGAAAATTTTCACAAGGATTCTTTTACGTGTAATACGACAGCAAACATTTTCGGCATAATTATGACCATAATTTTCGGAGTAATTCTCTTGTGTGTAAAACGGCTCTAAACAAACTGTATTGCTAATATGCATGTACCCGACAAAGATAGACGATGTTTTCATGTTGGATGATCGATCATATTTGAAAGATGAGTAGTTAGGTTATGTTAAAGCAGGTTAGGTTGTTTTCGAATAATACTTTGGTCTTTGGTGTTTCTGTCTTAAGGTATCCTAATCATAACTGTTTTTTTCAAAACTCCGCACTCAGATTATTATTACTCAAAACCATGAAATAAGTTGAAAATAAAAATAATCAGTGAAATAACCTAACTTCGCAAAATCATAATCTAAATTTGTTGTCATCATTCCTGACAACTGATTTTATCATCGACGTACGTCCATTGATTACTTCAGTACAATTTATGATATGACGTAAAGGTCATCTTTCGTTATTCTGACTATGCAATGTATAACTCTGCATGGTAATGTTATATTAACGATATTGTTATGATCATGTAGGGAAACGGTTTTTATTTTTTTAAGCGAAAACCGTACATCGGATTAAAAAAATTAATGAATCAAATTTGGTTAGAAATGAATGGGGATTTCAAGAGTAATTTTTAATTTTAACAGAAATCAATGGCGTACCATCAGTGTTTGCCAAAATAGGCAAGTCAAATTCCGTACTCTAACGCTACCGGTGGAAAAAAATAGTACAATAAAAAATGCCTCTATAATAAATGATGTATTTTTGGAAACTTGTTCACTCTGTATCGTAAAAGTTCATATGCAGTTTAGATAAACCCAATATTCACCCTCTCAAATATTGGAATTCAATAAAGGAAAACTGTATATAAAGTTGAGTTTTCCCGATGAATGGATTAAATGATTCTAGGGGCATCGAGAGCCTCTTAATCCATTAAACGTTTATCAATTGTTTCATTATATACAACTATCATCCTGATTGTGTTTTGCACCTATAAATTACATAAAAGTTGATCAATGAAAACGAGACCTTTAGCATATTTAAGTATCCACGTGAAAAGGTAGACAAATATTTTTTAAAGAAATAAGATACTTGCAATTAACGAATTTATCTCAAACCTATTAAGTTGTAAGCATTGTTACATAGAGTCGGATATTGCCAGATAAACAAAATTTCTTAGTAAGTGTTTTACATACAACCAAACATGGACAGCTGTTTCGTGCTTTTCGGCAACTCATCAGCATGGCCTAGGCTTGCTCTCTGGGATAATGAACAGCAACCGATAGCTGCTATACACTCTCGCAGTGATCGATTCCGCTTTGCGGAATAGTCCTTTAAAATTCGTGCGGTCATCCGATTTTTGCACGCAGAAACGTTACCACCCAAAGAAATTAATCGCCAGTTGAGTGAAGTATATGGGAAACGTGTAAAAGCATTCAACATGTCGTTATACGGTGAAGAGACATGGACTTCCATGATGAACAACGAAGCGGGAGGCCGTCGATCTCCGAGGAAGTTACGGCGAAGAGCAAATCTTGCTCGAAGATCGGCAAGTCACGATCCGGGAACAGGCGGTTGAACATCCCGAGGCTTCTGTGACGGGCAATCCAAAATCGTCGTAGGGGAACTCTGTAAGAATGCACCATTACAATGTGCATCCTCATGTCTCACAACGAACGAAGGACTGAATCGATCGATTTGGCTAGGAAGTCACGTTTCCACTGGTAAAATCGTTTTTTCAAATAAAAAATTCCTTGCGCCTGAAAAAATGTGGGAACCTTATTTTTGAGACAACCCTCGTATTAATTTTACAATGACGAGCAGACCACATCAACTACGAGCCCCTTCCCACTTCAGTTGGCCCACTCCAAGATTTGTATCAAAATATGCCTTTATAAACTAAACATGACGAAACTATTAACTTCTAAAACAATTTATTTTCTCAAAAACATTTTAGATACACTCTAGTTGTAAAAAATACATATTTGAAATCACTTAGACCTATAACTAATAGAACATCTGAACAAATAAACAATGTGCGAATAATGCGCGAAGTTAACAAAGCAACAATTGAAAGATTACCATTGGGTAACATGACCTTTATTTTTTAATACGGCTGAAATTCTTTGGGGGCATAGTGTTAACCAAGCTTTGGCAAAAATTTGGTGTAAAACAATCCCATATTTCTTGAAGCTCTTGTCTCAGTTCGGTGATTGTACGAGCAGGATGTTGTCGTAGAACCTTTTTCAGGATGTTGTCGTTCATCTCGTGCCACAAAGTTTCAATAGGTGACAGATCTAGACTACTAGAAACCCATTTCAAAAGTGGTACATTATTTTCTTCCATCCATTTTATAGCCCTTTTTGAGGTATGGCACGCTGCACCATCTTGCTGAAACACAAAATCTTTGCCGGATGTCAAACATTCTTCCATCACTGGTAAAAGCGATTCTTCTAAAATTGCCTAATATTTGTTTCTATCCACATTTCCATCAATAAAATGAAGTTTTCCTACTCCTTTTGATGACATACTGCCCCAGACCATAACGGATGCTGGAAATTTCACTTTTCTCTTGAGACAGTCAACATGGAATGCTTCATTTTTTGCGAATAACTCTACTGCGACTGTCACCAACACAAACTTCGAATCGGGCCTCATCACTCCATTGTATTGCACGCCATTGTTGAGGTGTCCATTGTCTATGTTCTTTAGCCCATCTAAGCCGATTTTTCTTTTGCAGTGGAGTTAATAGTGGTTTTTCTTTGGCCTATAAACCAGTTGTGAAACTTTAGGGTTTTTACTTCACTTTTTTTATATAAGAAAACTTACCTTGCAAGTGCTAAACCCCAGTTTGTGGGCCTCTCTATGAGTTGTGGACCTCGAAATTCTCCGTCCAACAGCGTCACTCCACAGAGCACTTAATTGTAAATAATTGGCACGTCTGTTTTTCACAATTATTCTTCTTAATGCTCTCCAGTCGGCATTTGTGATATTACTTTTTTTCACATATCGTGGCTTAATATTAACTGAACCAGTTACGTTATATCTTCTAACAATATTTCTCACACTGTACAGCGATAAGTCTAACAAAGTTGCATATTTCTGAGTTTGATTTCCAAGAATTAAAAAATTTAATTATCAGTAACCGAATTTTCTCACTAATAACCTTTCCTCTACCCATTTTGAAAACCTTAACTACCCAAAACTATTTTAAACGTATTCTGACAGCTGTGATTAATAAAAACAGTTGTCATGGCTTTTATTTTTCACAGCCACCTATGCGTTATAGACTTATTTTCCATTGAAATGAAAATAGGTTGATATGCTGTAATTGCAACATGTGTTATTTTGATTAGGGAGTGATAAAGTTGGTGTTTTCTACTATATATTATCAAAATATTCATGGTTAATATTTTAAACCTATAAAACCCTGCTACATTTTTATTAATTTGTATTTGATAAGAAAAAAACTAAGATTTCAATAGTTGGGCCAACTGAAGTGGGAAGGGGCTCGTATATCGCCAGAATCGACGGCATTTAGCAGTCACAGTGGTCACTATCAAACGCCAACTAAGAACTTTACACAGTGGAGTAGCTTGCTCAGGGGCTCCATATCAAAATCTGTAGCCTAATTGTGGCGAATCCCAAATGGAGAGTAAATTTGAAGCATAGATTTTCACAAAAGAAACATACACGCAGCCACCACATGAACTTAACAGAAATACCTGACCATTTTATCACTTGTTCATGGCAAGATAAATCAATACGTAAAGATTCTTGAGTTCTAGTAAGCATAACATATGTAGGTCTTTACCGTTGTTTGTCACTCAGTATAAAATGTTGCATACGAACCCGGACTATTATCTTTTCTCTACGTTAATTATGTTCACGTGTAAATCACAACAACATCAAGACGAAAATCCCATCCGGCTGTTCATCATTATTAATCAAAGAACCGATCGCTGCCCATTTTTTGCGACAGTTCATCTGGGAATCCTTAAAACATCATCATGACTCCCGAACAGTCAAAAGCGTTTAAACATTAGTATGCGGTAACAAATGTTTAATAAGTTTAACGTTTAACAATCGCACAAGGATTATCCCCTCCCTCATCGCCGGGGACTTAGTTATTTTATATCAGTGTATTTTAAATGGCGGCCGAGTTAACTTTTCGTCGCGTATGTGGTCTTTGGGCTAATGTGAACAGGTGAATAGACTCGCGCGCGCGGTAATTTTCGCCTTTTTGGATTCGAGGTTTTTGCGGTAGTGACGGTGAGTGAGACGTGTAGATTTTTTGTTTATCGTAGCCTTTTAAATAATTAGGTGAGTGATTTTTTTATTTTCGTTTGATTTGTCGTGCTGTCGATTTGTCTCGTTCGGTAGAGGTAGAGTAATTTTTTGAGGTTATAAATAAATTTTAGTTTATTTGTTTATGGTAAATTACAGGTAACGTATGGTTTGGCACAAAATATTTAACGGATTTTTTTTGATGAAGAAATTTATTTAAACTTTTAGCTATCTTAAAAAAATTGAAAGCTTAGCACAAGACATGTCCGACAAAGGTATTGTAAGTATTGTAAGAATCGTTTATACAATTTTTTAATCGTTTTGAGTGAGAAGTGTGGATTTTTTTAAATATACCTTCAAATAGTCAGATAAGGATATTTTGTCCTGAAAATTTCCAGACTTGCTTTTCCGTGTCTATCAGCTGTCATACCTTCCCCACATAAATCCAGTAACCATCACCTCGATTATAACATTAGGAGCTTTAAAATTCTACATAAGAGCATTTTTCGTTCTAAGGAGGCTTTGTTTTTGTTTCTCGAACCAACAATTTTATTTTTTGACATGTTTTTCTCTAGACTTTCGCGGTATTTGGGCTACTGTGGTGGGGTGAATAGATTCGCACCCACCGTATGTTTTACCTTTTCTGATTTTAGATGTATTGTTTATATTTCATGTACATCACGAAAACAACTTCACTTCGCTCGGATTTTGATGAAACTTTGTAGTTTTTGAAAATTGATCCAGTTCAATCTTCAAACTTTTTTGACGTTTCGAAAACTCCTGTTCATTTAAAGAAAATGTTTTGACGGGGTTGAAAATCGTAGGTTTTTAGTATGCTTCTTAAGTTTGTAGCCATTTCGAAAATTCTATCATTTCAATTCCATTCTTCTTCTTAATTTTTATAGAACAATTTTCTTATTTTTCCACATAAACTTAAATATGTCTCTTTTTGAACGTTTCCAAGTTTCTGAAACTACGACACAAAAGAAGCGATTCAATTAAGAAATTTATTCCGACAATCCTTACGACGACTTTTTTGACTTTTCATTTCCAGAAAATGTTTTGACGGGGTTGGAAAATCGAAGGTTTTTAGTATGCTTCATAAGTTTGTAGCCATTTCGAAAATTCTATCATTTCAATTCCATTCTTCTTCTCAATTTTTATAGAACAATTTTCTTATTTTTCCACATAAACATAAATATGTCTCTTTTTGAACGTTTCCAAGTTTCTGAAACTACAACACAAAAGTAGCGATTGAATTAAGAAATCTAGTCCGACAATTCTTACGACGACTTTTTTGACGTTTCATTTCCAGAAAATGTTTTGACGGGGTTTCTAAAATCGAAGGTTTTTAGTATGCTTCATAAGTTTGTAGCCATTTCGAAAATTCTATCATTTCAATTCCATTCTTCTTCTCAATTTTTATAGAACAATTTTCTTATTTTTCCACATAAACATAAACTTGTCTCTTTTTGAACGTTTCCAAGTTCCTGAAACTACGACACAAAAGTAGCGATTGAATTAAGAAATCTAGTCCGACAATTCTTACGACGACTTTTTTGACGTTTCATTTTCAGAAAATGTTTTGACGGGGTTGAAAAATCGAAGGTTTTTAGTATGCTTCATAAGTTTGTAGCCATTTCGAAAATTCTATCATTTCAATTTCATTCTTCTTCTCAATTTTTATACGAGGGATGTCTTTTAAGTTTTGCATATAGAAACATAGTAGGCCGCGCGGATCGAACGTCAGTACTGAATCTTAACCTCACTCTTTAGTAAACTTAAATTCAAAGTTTCACAACAATACGTGCAGTGTTCTCACTACAGTGAATCTTTAAGTGTCATCAAGTCATTAGAAAAATGGAACTCAACCGGGAACATTTTCGCGCCATAATTTATTAAAACTTTCAGAGACAATTATCGCAACAAGAATGCCTTGCTGAGTTACTGTCTGTTTTCGGCAACGAAGCGCCACATCAGTCGACAATTTCTCGTTGGTATGGAAAATTCAAACATATGCAAAACTTCATTTTTTGCGTATAACTCTACTGCGACTGTCACCAACACAAACTTCGAATCGGGCCTCATCACTCCATTGTATTGCACGCCATTGTTGAGGTGTCCATTGTCTATGTTCTTTAGCCCATCTAAGCCGATTTTTCTTTTGCAGTGGAGTTAATAGTGGTTTTTCTTTGGCCTATAAACCAGTTGTGAAACTTTAGGGTTTTTACTTCACTTTTTTTATATAAGAAAACTTACCTTGCAAGTGCTAAACCCCAGTTTGTGGGCCTCTCTATGAGTTGTGGACCTCGAAATTCTCCGTCCAACAGCGTCACTCCACAGAGCACTTAATTGTAAATAATTGGCACGTCTGTTTTTCACAATTATTCTTCTTAATGCTCTCCAGTCGGCATTTGTGATATTACTTTTTTTCACATATCGTGGCTTAATATTAACTGAACCAGTTACGTTATATCTTCTAACAATATTTCTCACACTGTACAGCGATAAGTCTAACAAAGTTGCATATTTCTGAGTTTGATTTCCAAGAATTAAAAAATTTAATTATCAGTAACCGAATTTTCTCACTAATAACCTTTCCTCTACCCATTTTGAAAACCTTAACTACCCAAAACTATTTTAAACGTATTCTGACAGCTGTGATTAATAAAAACAGTTGTCATGGCTTTTATTTTTCACAGCCACCTATGCGTTATAGACTTATTTTCCATTGAAATGAAAATAGGTTGATATGCTGTAATTGCAACATGTGTTATTTTGATTAGGGAGTGATAAAGTTGGTGTTTTCTACTATATATTATCAAAATATTCATGGTTAATATTTTAAACCTATAAAACCCTGCTACATTTTTATTAATTTGTATTTGATAAGAAAAAAACTAAGATTTCAATAGTTGGGCCAACTGAAGTGGGAAGGGGCTCGTATATCGCCAGAATCGACGGCATTTAGCAGTCACAGTGGTCACTATCAAACGCCAACTAAGAACTTTACACAGTGGAGTAGCTTGCTCAGGGGCTCCATATCAAAATCTGTAGCCTAATTGTGGCGAATCCCAAATGGAGAGTAAATTTGAAGCATAGATTTTCACAAAAGAAACATACACGCAGCCACCACATGAACTTAACAGAAATACCTGACCATTTTATCACTTGTTCATGGCAAGATAAATCAATACGTAAAGATTCTTGAGTTCTAGTAAGCATAACATATGTAGGTCTTTACCGTTGTTTGTCACTCAGTATAAAATGTTGCATACGAACCCGGACTATTATCTTTTCTCTACGTTAATTATGTTCACGTGTAAATCACAACAACATCAAGACGAAAATCCCATCCGGCCATAATTTATTAAAACTTTCAGAGACAATTATCGCAACAAGAATGCCTTGCTGAGTTACTGTCTGTTTTCGGCAACGAAGCGCCACATCAGTCGACAATTTCTCGTTGGTATGGAAAATTCAAACATATGCAAAACTTAAAAAAGACATCTCTCGAATGTCTTTTTGAACGTTTTCAAGTTTCTGAAACTACGACACAAAAGTAGCGATTGAATTGAGAAATCTATTCCGACAATTCTTATGACGACAGATTACTTATACGAGTATCGTGAAAAATAATAGGTCTTAATGCTAATTATATTAAAATAAATCAACGTTATAAAGATTATTTTACTTGAACATATTGATTGACGTCTGAATTGTAATAAAAAGATATATTTGAAATTATAATATGGACTGGATATGTTAGTGAATTAGCAAAAAGAACAGATAAAAGTAGGCACTTAACTTCAAACTACTTCCTTACCAATAATTTTTTGTTCCGTGTATTTGTAAAGTTAACCGCTAAAGACAATTAAAACAATGAGCTGATTATTTTGTGAAAACACATTATTTTATCAAATTCAAGGTTTAGTGGCAACGGAGATATCGTTAAAACAAGCAGTCAACGAAAATTAGTCACTCCTCTATTATTTCGAGAAACTTCAAATGTACCCTTTGAGTATGGTCTCAAAGTACGTTTCTATTTAGATATTACGATCTAACGTCTGGCTGCAGTTAGTAGGGACGAAAGCAACACAACTAGACACAAAACGGAAGAAAGTAGCATAACACGTTGTTCATCACTGCCGATGCTGCGTGTCTTTGAAGACTTTGCCGATACAAAAGAATGCCGTGTTAGCAGTGGCGTACTCTCCTCCTTTTTGGTATCAGGCTATAGATGTCTTTTTTATTCATAATTCCAATAGTATCATACGTGAAAAACTAATTTTTAGGTATAATGTTCATCAACGACATATCCGTAACACATTCGCTTTAATTTCCATATTATCTACAAAAGTAATACATCCAAAATCCTGGCGCGCAGAATTTATTTGAAGAACTTAGCGCTGCAACTGATCAAACCACAGATGATTACTCGTTCATCGATTCGAACTTTGCCACTGGATATTCGAACCCGAATCAGACAAATTTTGGGTATACCAGAAACAGACGTCAATGCAAGCGTATCAGCACCAGGATTTTGTGGAATATGCCCAAGAAAAAAGAATAGAAGGACAAAAAAGCAATGTTGCAAGTGCAATATCCCCATATGCAACGACCATGTCACATTTATTTGTTCTACATGCTCCAATTCGATAAACAACTTGCATTGGGCAAGTGAATAATTCCTTTATTTTACTAAGCACACGGTTCCTGTTTTAGTTCTAATTATATTATGACACAATATTATTATTTATATAATATAAATTTTGAGTTGTCATTAAATAAATCTAACAGTTTATGTGCATTATTGGGAGAATTTGCATGTAAAAATGCCTTTAATATATCTTAACCAAATTGGAAACTGTACGTGAGCAAAATGCTCACGCGCGAGTGATGGTGTAACTTTTACATGCTCGAGTGATGCAGGGTTAACAATGCCACTTCATAGTTCATCTGTTTTTAACATGTCCTTCTCATATAATGCATGCATGTTGTACAATAGCTTAGATTACAGAACAAAAAGCCTGCCG